TGGGAAAAATTACTGATGATTCATCTTTGTTACATCTTCCGATAGCATAGCTCTTAGTGGTAAGTAAGCCGATCTTTACAACAAACCACTATTGTTGGTTTGTTAATGTAAACATAATATTTTACGTAGCCAATTTTTTATTTATAGGTGCATAGGTATCTAATCTTAATCTATCTGATAATGACGATTAGATAATTCAGATTGGTAGGTAGGTATTCATTAATTAACATCAGTGTCGGAATGATGGACAGGTATTAATTGGATTTTAAGAAGAGATTTCGTCAACACTATCTATAGGTAATTGAATTAAGTAGATATCTTTATACCTATATACATACCGTAAAATGGGGTGAATAGGGACAAATCTGAACTTCATAAAGAAAGTTAAGGGGTTTTTTTAGAGAAAATTTGCTGTAAGGCGATTGTAATAATTGAGTCATGATGCTATCTTTGTGATCAAACATAAATTATGCAATTAGCATTTCAGTTTATGCATAAAAAAGCTAAAATATAGCCTATCCCTATTCACCCAGAAATTGGGGTCAATCGGGACGAAAATAAGGCCAATAGGGAAATTCTCTAGGGCTGCCACTTGTGTAGGTACCTACCTAATAAATTATAATTTATAGCTAACTACGATTTTTTTTTGTATTTTAATTTATTCTACATTATTACTTATTGCCACTATGTAATTCTTACATAATACTAGTTTCTGATTATTTAATAGCTATTTAGTCACTGAAATAAAATCCACTTTTACTTCCATTATTTATTTAATCAACAAACCTTTTGCAAATTATTCATTAACATTTAACAATTATTATTCACTCAGAACAAATATTTATGTATTTTTCTGCTTCATCACTTAGTGCTCTTTGTCCACCTTGACTCTTCATTGTTCTCATAACATATAGATCACATGCAAAACGGATTTAGCAATAATAAATTGTTTAGCTACTTCAACTAGAGATTTATTTCCAGTTTCATACGTTTCTACAGCAGTTTTTAATATAAGGGGATCATACCTCTTATAAGGTTTTGTACTTTTTGAGGTATACACGCGAGGCATATCTGAAAAAATAAATTTGCATTATTGTATATAAAAATTTCTACTCAATATATCAACACTAAAATAAACTTTCGGCTCCGCCCAGAGCAGGAGGAGACGTTTAATAATTTCCCACCCAAAAAAAATGTACTTATTAAATGTGACAGCCAGTGTTCGTCAGTAACGTTGTCAGCCCAAGAAATAGGGGACAATCCTACTACCGGACACAATTTCGGACTCCGTAAAATATATCAAAATTCCAACAAAACTTGGGTCGACTCGGGAACCGATCCCGAGACTTCATGGTCAGCAGTTGCACTTGCAATCACTAGATTAACGACGCAGTGTAATACCTCGCTAATTTATGAAATAAAAAAAATATTATTACCTAGATTACACAATTTAAAAATGTTAAGTCTGCTTAGTGACAACCCTATAAAGCTGTACCTATTCATACATAAGTCGTTCCTATTCATCCCATCCTCATCCCGATTAACCCCGCTTTCGTTGTGATTCATACCTGAGACGTCCCCATTCACCCCAAAAAATACAAATTTCGCATGCCATTCTAAAAATCTAAATTATAGTCATATTAATTAATAACTGATGCTTACCTTTCGTGCATATGACGGCCCAAACCCTAAATAAGGTATAAAACCAACACTCGTATTCGCTTAATACAAAATAACCTTTAACACAGCAAAGTTTTATACACTGTAATAACCGGTATCTTGTTTATACTATTTTCAATTGACATTTTTAACAGTTTGCAACTGATTTTACACTTGTTCAATGTGGCCATAGAAAAGTTCCAATAATCTACTATTAGCCCTCAAAAAATGGTAAAAGTTGGAACGATTTGCAAACTAGCATTTAGTGTTAAAAATGATGCCTGGTTTTTTCCCTATTCACCCCTGGATCCCTATTCACCCCATTTTACGGTACTTCAAAAGCCGAATTTGCACTTTATATCTGCCTTTTTTAAGGGCGGAAAATCATCTAATCACTTCTCCCGCCTGAGTGGGGCGGAAGTGAGTGTCAGACTCTTACTAACTAAAAACCACCCCGTTCCTACTCCTGCACTTCGAGCCGGAGCCCCGGTAACCCGTTAGGTTCTCCGCGGCTCCGTATCGGCATCAGCCCTATTGGGCCCCATCCATGGTGGCCTGATGTAGACGCGCGCGGAACGCGACGCGCCTACTTTATATCTGCCTAGGAACTTACATGACGTATATTAGGTACTGTTAAATGTAAAAACACTTAACTTCTACCGACAAAGTAAGTACTAACTTACCTTACATACTTTTTGCCCTTGAACCTTCTACAGGCACAAGTCTAGATTCCGTGCTAACAGAACTTCAGAAACGAAAAATCTAGCTAAAACTTCATCTGGGTATTGTGTCCTAAATCAAATGCCTGCTAACTTGGTGAAATATCGTTAGACCACTACCACTTGTAACTGTCGCGGAGAACCTAACGGGTAACCGGGGCTCCGGCTCGACGTGCAGGAGAAGGAGCGGGGTGGTTTTTAGTCAGTAAGAGTCCGACACTCCCTCCCGCCTCACCCAGGCGGGAGCAGTCATTCGAAGATTTTCCACCATTAAAAAAAAAGACCTCTTGTAACTGCTAGAGCGCCCTGTTTGTTAGTTAATTTGTATATATTTAATATACAAATTACTTACATAATTATAGGAATAGGAACTAAAATGGTTTTTCCATCTGTAATGTTAAAATCATTATCTTCTTATATTCAGACTCGTCGAGATTTACCAATATCCATCATTCCAGTTTATCCGTCCGGGTCCTCCGTTTTAACTTCACACGACTATTTTATGTATACAGCATTTACCAAATTTCGGTGTCACTATCACCTTTTTGACCTCCATGCTCCATCGTTGTGACTCCGAATACATAATTGACGAGTTTCTAATATTTCCGTACAATTCCAAGCAAAGATAATGCAAAATTGCTGTTTCTTTGTAAAAACTTCCGTTATGTAATTTAGTTTCGAACTAAATAAATTGGTCCCATGCATACAGGGGAAGGTTCTAATGACAGAATTCAAAATAATTTCTTATTATCAAGTGTGGGAGAGCCATGCTTCGGCACGAATGGGAAGGCTCGACCGGAGTGGCCGAGCCGAGTTTAGTTTTGTTTAACGGCCTCATAGAAGACCGACGTGAAACAAAACTTAAATTGGTAATTGGGCCTCCGGTAACTTTCTACCGCTGGATCCTCAACAATCCTCAAATTCCTAATCCCAAAAGGCCGTTAACGCACTTGTAACGCCCCTGGTGTTCCAGGTGTCCATGGGCGACGCCGATTGCTTACAATCAGGTGATCCGGCAGCTCGTGTACCGGTTCATTCCATAAAAAAATATATCTTCTAGAACACGCCAGTATACACCCACGACACGTTTTATAAAGTATAAGAATAACCAGTTTTGTAATACCTGAGAGGGAACTGAATCCCAATTTCCTTGAAAATTCTTAATAAACTATAATAAAAATACATTTCGTTCAAATAAGACAGGGCTGGTAATTTTTGTCACTCAAACTTGAGAAACAAAGGCATAAGTAACTTATTGCAATATTGTATTTATTGTTTTACAAATTGACTAAATTAACACATACACATTTATATCACTCTACAATTTAAAAATATTACAAAACGGACGATCGTGAATGTCAATCGCACACCTACTACTTACGCCTTTATTCCCCTCGTGAAGCATCATGATAAATGAAACCGGTATTCTGATGAATTACTTTTTAAATAGTTTCATTTTCCAAGGCACAGGCAACCTAGACGTACTGTCTAGTCGTTAGTCTACCGTTGTTATCTAATGTTTACATTAAAACTCGCAAGCCAATGAACCGACTTTAATGAATTGTTATAAATTGAATAATGTACATAATGCAACAAATGAGTTTTATAGTATGAATTGAGTATTATGAGATAAGGAAAATCCATTTCTCAAACTATTATTTCTTGCATGGTAAAGTTATTCAGTCAATAAAATCTTACTTACTAAATTATTAAAGTAGGGGGTGAAGGAAGGAAAAAAACAACAAAATATAAAAAAACAACATGCAAATCGGTTATGTTGCTTTTTACTATCAATTTTTGGATGTATGTGTACAAGTATGAATTCGAGGAAAATAAAGGAATATGTAATGTTTCATAATATATACTCTACATCGCAGTACTCGTTACGAACAAACATTACTTATGTTATTTTCGATATAGTACTCTACTCAACCATTATTTTTGTTCGATTGCTCATCACTTGCATAAGATATCATGAGAGCATGTTAATGTATTACATGTCACAAAACAAAAGAAAATATTATCTATAGAATCCAATCGATTTAAATAAAAATAATCTAGCTAAGAAACACCATTCGTTCTTTGCATAATATTAGCAAATACTGCGTAACATTCTAACTGTACAGACACGTAAACATAATGAACATATCAAGGAAACATTGTTGGTGTCCATATGATACTTTTTATTATAAGGTCTCGCTTACAGATGCATAGAAACGAACAATATTCTCACTGCGTATAGTAAAATCGGTGAAAAAGTCGCGATAAAAACCTAAAATCCACATACTGAAAGTCTAAAAATATATTATAATAAATTTCAAATGTCTATACATAGATGAGTGTTCACTACGCGCTTATAACGAGCGTCGAGCGCGCGTCCATTACGTTATAATATTAAATACGATAAAACGAACCGGCGGCTCCGTCCGTACACACGGCGTCGTCGAATCGCAGATACGTCGCTACTCGTAACCGTACCGAAGGGACTAGACACATAATCCAAGAGTACCGGTCGCTCGTCTACGAGCGATGACGCGACTCGCTACTGCGTTACATAAAGTTCGTATCGAAAGTAAAATTACATGTAATATATACTATATATATATGCGGAGCGAGCGTCGCTCAGACGAACACCTTGGCCAACCCGTCGGCGCCCGCACTGGCGATATAGGGCCGCAGCGGGTGGAACGCCACGTCCAGGATGCTCTCGTCGAACTTCTTGCGGTGCGCCGTGATCTCCTGCACGCACGTCTTCGTGTCCAGGTTCCACAGGCGCACGGAGCAGTCGTGGCTGCCCGACAGAAGGAACAACCCGTTGGGGTCCAGCGCCAGCCCCGTCACCGCGTCCAGGTGCGCCACCATGGTATGCGCGCACCGGCCCGACACGCCGTCCCAGAACCGGATGTGGCGGTCCTCGTGCGCCGTCACCAGCAGCGGCAGCGTGGGGTGCGAGCGCACGCGGTGCGCCGGGCTGTCGCACGCCACGCGCAACACCGGCTGCAACAGACACGCCGTTATAGCCCTGCACTGTACCCGCTCCCACCTCTAGAGCCAGCGCTAGTACCTGTCCAGTTTCGAGGTCGTACAGCAGCAGCGTGCCGTCGCGGTAGACGACGGCGGCGCGCGAGGCGGCGTCGGCGAAGTCCGCGGCGGCGGGCGCGGGCGCGGTGGGCGACTCGTCGGCGCGCAGCGTGCTGAGCAGCGGGCGCGCGGCGCGCGGCGCCCACAGCCGCACCGTGCCGTCGGCCGACGCGGACAGCAGGCGCCCGTGCGCGCTCGACAGCGACCACACCGCGTCCGTGTGGTCGCGCAGCACTGCGCCCTGTACGTACCACAATGTAATACTTAATCACGTCTGCAGTATTATTTACATAAGATACCAATAGCTATTGCATCTGAACAAACTCAAAGTATTATGAAATTATTCCCTATCTGATAATACCTGAACAGCAGGATCGTAGGGATCGTAAGGATCGGCAGTGGGAGGTGGGAGATTCCAGACGCGGATGGTTCCGTCCAGCCCGCCGGAGAAGCACTCCTCGGAGCGCGGTGCGCCCATGGCGAGGCAGAGCACGGGCGCGGTGTGCGCGCGGAAGGTGTAGAGCGGCTCGACGTCGAGGCCGGCGGACTTCTTGGCCGGCACCGTGCGCTGCAGGTTCCACAGCTTCAGCGTGTGGTCCTCCGACGCCGTCACCAGCGCCGGCTCGGTGGGGTGGAACGCCAGCGCACGCACCTGGAACATTATTCACACGATATTTATATTTGTACTTCAACACATCGAAAATTGTATAGGCAAAGTATGTTAAAAATAAAATATAGCTTTAGATTATTTAATTATTCGTCATATACGAAATAAGATACTAACTCCGTCAAAGTGCGAACGCAACGTGTACTTGGCGTTCCAAGTTTTGCGGAAGGATTCCTTGTTAGCGCTAGCCACGTCATAAGCTTCGGGCTCGTTGCTGACGGTCAGCTGAGCCAGTTCCCCTAGAGCGAGAGGCTCCTCATCAGCCTCACCCGCCCCTGCGCCCGCGCCAGCAGCCACTGCGCTGCCACCACTGGATCCACTTCCTGAGACATTAAAATGTATTTATTAGCATCTTTTCTGTTTAACAATATGTTATTAAAAAAAAAATATGCTTACATAATTTTTTTTAATTCAACATAACATAACATTACGCCTTTTATCCCCGAAAGGGTAGGCAGAGGTGCACATTACGGCATTTAATGCCACTGTAATGTAACACCCACTTTTCACTATTTATGTTATGAGTCCCATGTAATAGGGGGTGAGCCTATTGCCACGGAGTGCTACCACTGAGAAAAACCCAGTAATACTTTGCCCGACCCGGGAATCGAACCCGAGACCCCTTGCCTGGCAGTCGCACTTACGACCACTCGGCCAACGAGGCAGAGAGCAGTTTTTTTAATTCAATTTATAAATCAACTCACCAACAGGGTATTCGTCTCCCTGACCGCCGCCGTCAGCCTCTCTTTCGGTCAGCAGATTGAGCTCATTCAACACTTCCTCAGCTTCATGATCAACTTCTTCTCCTGATAAAAGAAAAACCAAACGACAAAAGATATTAGTAATGTTTGCGAACAGTAATCTTCGATTACAAGATTATGATTGTATTAGCAAGAGCTTGAAAGCGAATTTCCTCTACAAATACTAACATAAATTAACAATCAATGAATGAGTAATTGATATTACTTAACCATGTTTCCACTGTATTGAAACAGGAAAAGTATATTTTGAGTGTAAAGTAACCAATCTATACCTATAAATTAATATGGAACTACAACAGAGAATTTTAAAGCAGAAGTTTACTCGGTCACTAGAAATAGTTTAGATTACTTGAGATAATGCCAAAGTTTCTTAATACCTTGTTTCCCAGGAGGATGGTGCGACTGTTTGGCATCCAAATCATCTATTTCGTCCATATCCATCTCCTGGTTGGTCAGGAACTCGAAGTTGGCGAACACGGCAGCTGTCTCTTGCACAGAGAGACCCTCCTCATTGTATCCGCCACCGGCAGAAACGCCACTCTTACGCGGCTCTTTTCCTGTATCAGTATTAAAAACAAGAACATAGAAAATATCTTAAAATAAATTACCTTCTTATGTGCTAAATATTATTACAAAAGTTACTATATTCTATATTCAAGAGGCCTGCAATCTTATTAATGAAAATAATCTGTTTTCAATATGAATAGCTGTTCCTCCTGGTGTTTTAACAACTGTGTGGGGTACAGAGGCGTGCACAGAGATTTGAAGTAGGGTAGGCAGAAGGTATCACATGATTAAAAATAATTGGTCTACATTAATCTCGGAAAATAAAACTCCCGAAACATCATAATTTTGAGTAGGTAATTAGGTTTAGTAAGTATTTTATTAATTTGTATAAACAAATTAGATATATAATTATTTTCAAACTATCCGTATATAAAGTTGATCAACATAGATACCTAGGTATCTATTTAATAAATCTATTCTACTAACTAGGTACCTACTTTGGAGCGGCGAAGTACCTCTACAAATGGTTACGCGACCATCAAGCTATGTGATACCAGTATAAACTGACCGTTAAATGCATAGAAAAATCGTACAAAGCGAGATCAAGATGACTGGATTTTAAAAATAATAATGAAATTGGTACACCACCAGTGCTAACAAACTATAGGTACCTATAATCGTAAATCGTAGTGTATTAAAAGAAATAATAAAATTATTACCTTTTTTGAGTTACGCCTAGCCCGGACATACGACACACGCAAAATCGCCTTTGGAAATATTTTCGTTTCTTCTTCGAACGACAATAAGGACAACGCACTCATATTGAATTTATTGAACAACACAAATAACCAGCACAGAGCTCACAGCTATAATTTTACATAATTTTCGGTAAATTAACAGTTCATTTAAATTATAATTCATTACATTACAATTTATTCACTTGCACATAAAAACATAACCAAAACAAAATGGCCAAAAAAACGTAAACAATAAGTTGACCAAAATTAATATATCTATTTTCAATCAACAAACGCTACGATTTGTTGACTTCCTAAATTAGTCGGATAACGAAGAAGCAGTGCTTTTGCAGTTGTATAGAAATTACCAACCTAACAAAAAAAAAATCCAACATCAGCACGAGAAAACAAGCAAAATGTACCGGCTAGCATTAGTACATGCTTCCGCCACCATCACACAATAGCGAGGTGGCGGCGCCACTGGTGCAATGCTCCAATATCGAAGAAAGTAGAAAGTGGTTGTAGTACTTCAATATTTTTTCGATAGATGGCGTTAGTTACCAGTTTTCCAAATTAAATATCAATAAAATTACGAAATCTCTGTATGATGTCAGTAAATATTCATATCGTGTTTATGAGTGACACTATGTAATTGCCTATGTAGGTTTACAATGATTTTGTAGGGTATGCAGTGCTTATTTGCATGTATGGTGTGCACGCCACTGGTGGGGTACAAATGAATGAAATGTCCTTTCACACTAATACTTACCATAATCATATTTGCGAACCATGTGGTTCATAGAGTAATCACATCTGTCGTGCTGCTGTTTGTCATAATTTCTGTAGTTTGGGTTTTCTACTTCTTCATTGTTCAGACCAAGCAGAGCCCGAACTCTGTTTGAGCGAACATCCAGTATGGTGTCTGTGTAACCTATTTCCTGTAGAAAAGGAATAAGTATCAATAAATAAATCATTTTCAACTTAATGATTATTTCATGGAACAGTATTATAATTATAATGGCAATAGGCTCACCCCCTATTACATGGGACTCATAACATAAATAGTGAAAAGTGGGTGTTACATTGTACAGTGGCATTAAATGCCATAATGTGCACCTCTGCCTACTCTTTCGGGGTTAAAAGGCGCGATGTTATGTATGTATGTATGTATGTATGTATGTACGTAGTTTTATAATTTTAAATTATTCAGTATCACATTAAGCATGGTCATATTTCCTTTGGATATCTTGCAGGACCAATATCATAGACATAATCACTAATTAATATTAAGACAAACTTAATACAACTTTCTTTGTTCGCAGAGTTTCTAGCATGTAAACCTATGAATAATAAAATATGATAAAACAAATAGCAATACCAGACATCATATAAATCACATTATCTTCATGATTATCTGCTGGTAAAAACCACCTAATCTAAAATTATACTTCTTTTATATTTTAACATTTCTTTCCCTTTTTTAGTTTTAAATCATTTTTACAATGGTATTCATAGTTTGTCTCCATTTGGCTTATATTTACGAAAATGTTTAAAACACTTGAGTTCTATTGAAACCAGGGCTGTTCAAACTATATACCCTAGCGGGCTAATTAAATTTCTTACAAAAGCTGGAGGGCCAAAAAGATTAAAATGTGTGTCGCGGGCCACATGAAAACAAGCCACAAGCCACATGTGGCCCTTTGTTTGGAGAGCCCTAATCTAAACAAAGCAAAACTTGAGGTAGAGGCTAGGAATAGAAACAAAATGTAATATTTATGAAATGAATGCCAATGAGGCATTGGATTAGGTAGACAAAAATATGTCATGATAAATAAAAAATGAAAACATACCTGCAGGTACTGTTTAATAAGTTGACGACCTTGCTTCCACTGTGCTCTCTCAGCAGGCTCTGGCTCTGCAGGGGGCTCCTCTGGAGGAGGACGCACATCACCCTGCTGTAACTCCACCCCATACTTGAGCTTATGAAACTTCGCCCTCTCCTGCTTGAGTGCATATTCCAGCATCTTAATCCGCCTCACCAGGTCATTTTTAAGATTTTCTTGGCCCTTCCTCTCACCTTGGAGGAAGGCAATCCGCGCCTGTGCCCACAATTTATTTCATTACAAAGTGTATGAAGACATGTATGAAGTTGTTTAGAATTATCTAGTTAAATAAATAAATTTACTTGAAAACAGGGTTTAACTTTGTTAAACAAAGATCCTAACATATTGTTAATACAAAATGTACACAACATATTGTATTAACATATTATGCTACTTTAATCAATCTTTGGACACTTATAACATTCTTAGATGACTAATACAAAATAAAGAAGTATTATATTTTTAGAACACATTATCTAGTAATAGATATTCCTATGGCAAGTGCCAACTCATATGGTACTTCCTACTGAAATCCTCTTTGCCTAATATGGAAAAATAACAAAGAAAGATGCATACACAAAATAGCAAAAATCAAAACAGTTTTACTTATTCAAACCAAATATAAAGTAATATTAAGAAAGTCAATATAAAAAAAAAAACAAATTATTTGTTTGTGGAATAAAAGATTTGTAAATAAAAATCTGATATTTAATAACAATAGTTTGCTATGTTACTCATTTTGTTTGTAACTAAACTTATGAACCAATAAATTGTAGAAAATATCAATGCTATGGTAATTATTTTCAAAACAAAAATTTGCATCATGCATAAATTTTGAAATAAAAAGTGTATTATGCAGAGACATCAACTTGTCTTGTTTCTAAGTAATCTCATTTCTTTTATTGGTCTTATTTAAGGTCAGTTGTAAGCATATTTCTAAATACAAATAAAACAATTAATTAAGTATATGTTTACTTTTTTCTTTAGTAATTTTAGCTAACATGAAAACATGTGTGATATGACAATTCAAGTCCAAGATCTGTGAGATAAAATAACAAAGACTTACATTTTCAATACACCTGATTTAAATTGTAAATATTAAAATCAGCTGTGTTTCACAAATTACATTTATATCACAGTAATTTTATATTACCAGGACCAGCAGTAATTATGTTATCTAGCATACCATACAAAGCCAATTTTATAGAAATCATTTTAACTGAAATCTTATGAACTGTAGAAATCTGGTGGGCAGTACAAATTGTCCAAATGTAGAACTTAATATACTGGCAACCTAAATTTTATAACTTATAGTGATAAATAATACAATTTTGTAATCAAATTACATTATATAATGCAATATAATTTGATTAAAGCTGTAGCTAATTTATAAAGAAAAATATATTGATATTTTCAATAAAAAGTTAGATACTATGAGCATTTTGTAAGGGCCATGTTTTCATCTATTCAAGTCAGATTCACCAAAATGACAGAAGTGAATACAATTAATTAGTCATTGACTAACTCTGGTCCATGACAATAAAGCACTATAAAAAATAAATGAAGTCTCCATTTACAATATTTATTTAATGCAATTGTAATAATAGCCAAATAACTAAATATGAAATGCAATCAGTCATACTCAAATTTGTTTTGATGTCTCACTAAAAAGAACAAAATTATAAATGTGAAATTAAAATACGTGGTGTTAACGACATGCCAATTTGGTATTGAAATAGCAGTTCATAAATTACTATGTGTCAATGAACTTTACATTATTTACAACAATCACGAAGAAAATAAAAAAAAATCACCTCAAATTCTGCTCTGTCCACCTCCCATTGTGATCTCTCGAGCTCGAATCTCGCCCATTCGTGTTGGATGAAGTGCAAAATGCCCGGTATTGAATACTGGACACTTTGGCTAGGTTCGTCATTTTGTTTGTTATTTACACTGACTCCGATTTGAGATCCAACTTGCCCTCCGTTGTGATGAGATACGGAGCTATCATCCATGGCTGTGGGGATTTTCATGACATGGCCACCATTACCATTACCGAACTTTACTTGTCACACACCTATCTTAAAGAACTACGTAGATGAACTATGCGACACGAAATACTAACACATTATTAAAACTATATTTCAACTAATGTTCACAAATGTGACACCATCTAAAATATTTTTTATCGACGAATTCATGAATGACAAAAATTATTGCATGACGGAAAGAAAAGTCGCAACGACGTCCGTCCGCTACATTGCTTTTACTTTTTTTTCAATGTTGCCATGAAGGAAAATAAAAAATACACATATTATGGCAAAACAAAAATGTTTTATAGGTATTTGCAAAATAAAAACAGTTTTGAAGTTTTCTTGGTATATTAAGTAATTTGGCAGTATTTTTCTTTATAAAATATCAAATATTATTTTAAAAAGGACACACCAATTATTTTATTTTTTAAAATTATTTGTTGCTAGAGTTTAAACATCTTGAAGTTTCAGTCCTCCACAGAGTTCGAGTCATAGATTTATTAAAGAAATATTTCTGTGGTTGCATTCCACAGATTTGTAATTATCTATTTGACTACACGGTATAATTACATGCTCTGTGCACGGTTGGTCCGGTATTAAGCAACCAGCTGCCGACACATTTCACAATATTAACATAAAGGAGCTTTAATGAATAAAAAGTAGTCAAACTATGCAGTTTGTACTATTCAGTTCTAAGTTCAAACAGATTTATCTCTTCACATATTTTAAGTACTCTCAGTACTGTACCTATAGTTAAAACTGGAGGTATGTAATGACTACGTAGCTAGATGTTTATTTTATTATATTTAGACTCAGTACAGGACATGTATTTGGTTTCGAAATACTCATTGGAGCTGCACCTTTAAGGATGAAAATGGTAATCCGATTTTTCATACGGTATCATTTCGTGATTCAAATGTTTTTCATAGTAAATTATATCGATGGGTAACAGACTATTTGGTTTAAGCGATATTTTGGGTGATATTCGATGGAGAAAAATTCGCTGATTCCGAATATATATATAACTCAATATCGACCAAAATGTCGCTTAAACCAAATAGTCCGTTACCCCTCGATATGGTTTTTTTAACATCTGTTCTTCATAAAACAGCATTTTTTTTTCATGTATTACCTCCATGATTTTTTTACACATAGTAAAGTAAATTATAAATAAGGGATATCACTCCAATTTTAGTTATTATTCGATTTCGATAAAGATTTTAGCAAAACATTTTTTAATAGTTTTTAGTTTTAAAAATATTTTAAATAAAAAAATTTTATTTTATTTCTATTCGATTATTTACAAAAATAGTAAATTGGTCAAACAATCGTCAATCGTCAGGTCGAATCGAATATAAATCGTTGATGCGATTATTGTCTATGGACGAAATAATAGCTATCCTCGTCCTCGTTGTCAAAAAAGTCAAATAGTTCTTTTTCTTCTTCCGGTAGCGTCTGGTGGAGTGGTCACCAGTCGCCATTTTGTTCGTATATTAAATAATTTGTTGAGTTTGTAGTGATTGAGTTGGTGTTATTTGGAAAAAGGTAGATTTATGTTCTATGAGTCTGTTTTTGAAATGATTTAAAATAACTTACTATAGATGGAGTCTATACAGTTGCGTTGCTACAGGAAGGAAACCTACGCTTTTTACAGACTTCACCGCTAAACTTGTTTTTGATACCTAATTTGTTTTATTTTATAGGAAAAATGTCACGTTACGGTGACTGTAAAGTGTATGTCGGAGATTTAGGTAACAATGCAAGCAAACCTGAACTTGAAGACGCATTTTCATATTATGGACCTCTAAGAAACGTCTGGGTAGCAAGGAACCCGCCCGGCTTCGCTTTTGTAGAATTCGAAGACCCTCGTGACGCTGAAGATGCGGTAAGCTAACATCTCAATTTTACAGATTGTCAGATTATTTTATTTATAATAATAGATGAATGTTTATTTATCTAAAATTATATAATTATAGATACGTGGTCTGGACGGACGCACAATTTGTGGGCGACGTGCTCGAGTAGAGATGTCTAACGGCGGGCGAGGTTATGGAGGACGGGGGCCACCACCACGCTCTCGACTACCTCCTAGACCGTATGATGACCGCTGTTATGACTGTGGAGATAGAGGACATTATGCTCGGGACTGCACACGCCGTCGTCGCCGCAGGTGACATATCTAATAATTTTTCTGGTCGTTATGTGTTACGGAAATCCTGCCTTTGGAATGGAATCTTTATGGTAATAAAATCTGATTCTTAAAACTCAACTCAACTCAACTACAAACATAGGTTAAGTAAATGTTATTAGTGTAGAAGTTTGTTTTGAAAACGAAAAATCAACTATACAAAGATTCCATCCCATTGTACTGAACTCACTTATACCAATGATAACTATGTTATAGGTTATCATTGGCCTGTGCGCCGAGAACGAACTCGTCAGTGTCTGCACTTCTTATTGTCTGCGCTACGTAGCTTTCTCCCCGCGGCGTGTACTCCAATTGAGTTGATTGCTTCGGTAACACCGCTCGCTCTGCGAACTACGTAGCTACAGCCTACGTGCACACTTCACTTGAGATCGTCATTGAGAGTAAAGTTCGTTCTGCGCGTCGCACCGCACGTCTAATGTAATCACTGCGTGCACTCAGTGAGTTACACATTACTATCCCATATTTGTGTTCAAAGAAAGCCTGTGCTGCTTATTTTTAGTAGGAAGGTAGTATATTTAGAACAGATAGAGCTGCAATGAAGACCAGAAAAGTAAGAGGAAGTCATCATCAATGAATACAAAATATATTATAATATTATTATATTATATATGTTATTTTTTAAATTATATTTCTCAGATTTACAGAACTCAACAGCCGAACAGTACCAGGATAAATAGTATCTACTAGAAAATCACAAACTGCAAACTTCAATCATTATTATTCTATTGTAGAATATCAATAACATTTTAACCATAAGCAAATAATATTGGTACATACATAAATAAAAATTATATGCGTGACTTGATTTTGCAGCAGTAGCAGCATGAATTTTTTAAGTTTTTTCTTAAATCCGAAATAAGGTGAAACTGAAATTAAGTAGAACTGTACTAAAACAACATTGTCTAAATTTTCAGTCGGTCAAGGTCCCGTCGTCGTACGCGCTCCCGCTCGCCACGCTCTGGATCCCGTTCCCGTAGTCGCAGCCGCTCTCGCTCCCGCTCTAAGGCACGGTCTATGTCGCGGTCAAGATCTCGTTCTCCATCCAAGGACTCGAAAAAATCGAACTAAAAATATTACATTGTAATATACCTTATTTTTTATGTACACAACTTACAAGCAACCTTTGACAGTGTTAGGGTCGGTACATATTTATTGCCATTAATGTGTACCATAACACAAGGGATACAAATAATTAACAACAGAATTTGCCACTATCTGATGCCGATGATGCAATAATGCGTCGGTCGAAGTCGCTAGATCCCAGTGGTATTTGATGCCTATGTTCGGCACATAATACCGTCAGTTATGAACCGACCCTCAAGAATTTTATCATTCCTGTGTATGTGTATTGTTTTGATTTTATAAGTTGAAGAACGATTGATTTTGAGATCAATAAAGTTTTAAGAATATTGTTTTGTTTTACTTTCATACTTAATTATTTTTGGATTAGAGTAACTGACCATTCGCATGTAATGTAACGGTGTGCGTTACCCAGTCCAGATGTCGAAAATTGACATTTGAATCTTATAGATAACTAGCGGACCCGACAGACGTTGTTCTGTAATAATAGATATAGATAAATAACCTAGAAACCGACTGCAGCGCCATCTGCCGGGCTGATTTGTGATTCTAAACCATTTCCAATTCCCCTTGAACACACAAAAAATTTCATCAAAATCGGTCCAGTCGTTTGAGAGAAGAGAGGGAGCACCTTTACATTACCATGGACTTGTATTTTATGTAATAGAAAAAGCCTTGTTTAGTCGAGATTGCACGGTGAGAAATTGTATTAGATCTTCTAAAATGTCCTATACTTGTGAGTTTGTACCTGGTATATTACAATGCATAAATTTTGTATTGTGTGTATCCAAAATCAAACATTAAATTACTAATTTCAATTAACCCAATTACGATAGGGAATGTAAATAAAATAAAAGCAGAAGTCATTGATAGTTTGTTTATTAACACTTATTAAAACGTTCTACTATTACACTTATAAAATGGCGCCTTCAATGTTAACTAATTTATGCAAGTTTTCCAATTTGGTTGCTATTGACTTGAGTTAATATTATGGTTCATAGAAAACTATCAAACAAACATCTGAATTACCTTATGTGATAATTCACTCTTGAGATCATAATATAATGATATTTAGTTTTATAAAATTGCAAATCAGAATATTTTGCATTATAATGATAATTGTATTATTGACTTGAATACAAAAATAACGCGATCAATAATCTCACTTATATAATCTTTAAACTTATAAGTAAATAGGTAAGTATATATTATGAATAATCTAAATTATATTATATTTTTTGCAAAAACAGTTTCAATACACGATTTTAGTGACGAATCTGGGTCGATTGCTGTTATCAGTGTGTGACTTTTATTTGTTTATAATACATCAATTGCATTCCAATAAGAAATCTTGATAACGGAGTGTTCTTTATTATTAGGTATTTAAAGCTGGTTTTAAAATATCAAGCAATGTTATTATGTTCCATGACCTTTCATTACTTTTAAAGGAATACCTACTTCAAAATGGTGAACAGAAAGTTCAGATGAAAACGTTACTAGATATTACAATAAGTTATGATATTACTTCGATGGAGTTGTCTAATTTAACCGACCATGTTTATGGCCACTGTTGAGAAAATTCATAAATATATATAGGTACATATATATATTTTTAAAACCGTTGTTATTAAACTGTGAATATATAAGTAGAATTCGGCGATGATAATTTCTGGAATTTTGTGGATTCCAAACCACAAGTTATTTGTAATAGATAGATAGATTTTGGAATAAATATGACTATCACAGTCGTAAATATTTAGGACGTGCCGCGGTGGATTTTTCAACCTTTGTATGTACTATTTAGATAGTTACATACATGCAAATGATAAGTAGGTTAAATTTCAAAGAATTTGTAGCCATGATGCTGGGAGAACATCAATAATATGTTTACATCATATATTCCACATCCAATGTTATAAGTATTTCATTTGAATGCCCAAATCATTTGGCAATTAGAAGGATTATTTCAATATTATCTTTGCCTCATTTAATTAAAGATGGATTATAAAGCATTGTGGGAACTTTTTACATAATATAAATATAACTTTTACGAATTGGTTAGTCCTACTTACGATCTATGTACTAGCAATTACATATCATCTCTCCTTACATAAAGAAAATAAACAGAAATCATTAATTGACGAGACTCGCACACTAATATACAGGAATTAACACATTTCCAAGTAATAAATCAGTACTTAAACGCACTGAAATCATAAAAGACATCCACTGTGGCAAATCATATTTCTCATGTTGTTTACAGGTATCAAATCAGCAGATAAATTCATACATATATTATGTACATATTTATTATTTAATTTTACATGATGTTATGATTTGCAACAAGTAAATATAACTTAACTCTCATACACACATAATAAATTTAGGTACCTGTATCTATAAAATGCAAATGCATTGAGTGGTACTTAGACAATAATATTTATAGAATTGTATCAGATCTATAATTCTAAATTTATATTAGTTTTTAATCAAACAAAATATTTATAATCATATTATGATATTATGACAGACATTCAATGTAGTGATGTGTCAATTAGATATTTTTGTAATCATTATCATAAAACAGTATTAGGATTCCACTCCATTATAGAAACAGGTACCTAGCCTATTATCGTCTGCCAATTAATACTTTACTGTGATTTAGCAAATAATTACATTACAATAACAAACCCACATCATGAATACAATTCTTGTTGTAAAGCCAAACAAGACAATATACTTTGCAGATTAAAATAACAAGAAATTAATTACTGCACAAGAACCCCATTCTTTGAAATAGAATTCTTTAAATCACTGAAATAAATGCACTCATATATTTCAATGATTTGTTTTGAATATTTTGACTCTTATACCTCACAATAACCCATTAAAAACAATGTAACAAAAATTAATCACATAATATACACAAATTCGAAAACTCTAAAATGCTATACATTACTATCACATACATAATATACATCTCTATGAGAACTTCCATGTATTAAGTCTGCATCTGGTATAATTAAGATATGAATTTGAAAAAATAAACTTTAGGCCAGTATAAAATATACCATTGCAGCTTTAATTTATATTCTTTTTGGGTTAAGCTAGGTGTCAAATGGATGCAGACTCAATATCAATTTGAATTGAGAGCTTACATAAGACTTCAAAGTATTTTGTTCTCAACAGTCTCCAATTTCGAATCAGCTGTAATTTAAATCCTTCCTCCATTGCTGCTGATCCATAAAGGCCCCAATCAATTTAACAACATCAATTTTAATAAGGGAAGAACACTTTTTCAATCTTTGTAAAATAACAAATATAAAAATATGTGTACAGAGTATAACTCAAAACTCTTAAAAGCTCCTGAGAATCATTTTCAATGTTCATAAAATAACTGGGATTTCTAAACTGATCATGGTTTTATCACAATATTATCACAATAAAAATAAAACCAAATCAATAATAAGTAAAGAACTTTTCAAACGGAGATAATTGTGCACAAGTCTAAAATAATATGGTATGTACCATGTACATGGGTACCAAAGCATTTTATTTGTACAATAATATTTGATCATATTATAACGACACTATAAAGCTATAAAACACAGAAATATCAACTTACATTACATTCCTGTACATGAATACTTTCTTGTCGTATTATTATGTTCCCTCATGATAAATTTGTTGAAACAATCAAGAAATGGACAGATATTTGCAATCTGCAATTTTCGTACTGTTGATATTGACATCATAATCATCTTTAGGTGATAAGTTTTCGATGCTGTTTAATATTTATAATTTATCATTGATTTCTTCAAGGTCACACGAAGATAATTTTGACTTCTGTTTCCATAAGTAATAGGTGTCATACGTCGTTAATACGATCGATGTCTACAAGTAGACAAACTGGTTACCACAATGTTTTCAGCATTGCCACTTTACTGCTTTTTTTCAGGTTTCTTCACAGCATGTGCATTCACCGGGTACTTCAGTTCTGTTTTCAATTGTTCATTGTGTTCTTCTAAAGAGTTCACAGCATAATGAAGGACAAGCTCGTTTAATGTTCTAAAACACATTAAAAAATCATTAATATACAGGTTAATACATATTATACTCCACAAAAATATATTAGTTGCCATTGTAGTACTTATAAAAGTGTAATGAACTAACACACAGTCAAGATAATAACTATAGTAATGCACAGTTTTATCAATATTTAACTCATGAATAATCTCAATGCCAAACATGTTTAAGCTATTCTCTGCAGATGTTTGAATGTATGATTTACCTAGAATAAAATTGCTATTATAATATATTATTATAGCATACTTACTCATATACATTATAAGGTTCTGCAAATCCATAACCTCTTTCAGTCTTAAAGATAATACAGTGGTAGACCATGTTGTTACAACAAATAGATAAAGCTAGTTGACCAGTGGAATTAGGCCGAATTAAGAATGTGCCTTGAGGTTTGCCCATAAGAAGTTTTTCTGCTTCTTCTCTAGTACAATTAACTTTCCAACTACTCATTTCTCTATGAGCATAAAGTTCTTCAAGTTTATGTATATTGTCATCCTCTAATAAATGCAAGTATTCATCTGTTTTTCCTCTTCCTTGTAGCCATCTGTAAACATAGGATTAAATAGGTCACACAAACTGTAACATAATTTGTAGCAATTTGATAGTTTCATCATATCATGAGCTAGATGGCAGGATAATGGCCACTTGCTGGGTTGCAAGTCAAAATGTTTAATGGAACTTGTGTGACTAAGGTAATCTAGGTAACCTTATCAAGAGTTGTTCTTTCATCTACTTAACAAGTCAGTTTATTTTTATTATGATCATGATATTTATTAAAATAAGTATGTATATATTATCCTATTTCAATCTCAAAATAACTTATTTACCTGCTACAGCAATGTCATTGTTATACAAAGTTATTATTTCCTTTTATGTTTGTGACTATTCTAGTTAAATATTGGATGTAAAAATAATGTTGGATTTGATAGAAATTCCTGTTAATTAACAAAAACAACATTACTTACACTTTATATCTGTCTTTTCTTTTGTAAAGATCTGTAACATCAGACTTCAGTTTGGCAATTTCTCTCTCAAGAAGTAGTTGAGCTGTAACTGTATCTTTCAAAATTTCATTCAATTCTGTTTTAGCTTTCCTTAAGCTATGGACTCTAGATATTAAATTCCTATTATTTTCTAATACAGTATTTTTTTCATGTGGTTGTGCTTCAGCTTGCATCTTTTCTTGTAACTTTAAATGTTCTTCACAAATTCTAACTGTTTCTTTAAAGGCGTCTAGTGCTTGCTTCTTTCTATTAACTTCTTCCCTTAATATTGTATATTTGTAAGAGCGACCCTCAAAGTCTTTTGTTTTTAATACATATCTTTTGTGAATTTCCTTAAACTTAGTTTCGAGGGTGTCATCACTCATATTTTCTTCACCTTCATTTTCAACGAGTCTAGACAAAGGGTACATAAGTTTGATGTCAAGACTACTATTGCAATGTGCCAGTGAGAACTCTCTGTAGAAGCGAACAAGCTCCACCACAGATTTGAAATCAAATGGTTCACAAAATCCATAGCGCCCCTCATGATTATAGATTTTGATAAGTTTGTTCATGCCCCCTTTCCTCACTGTCAGAGTATAACCACTATCTTTGTTAGATGCGTTGCGCACCAGGAAGGTGCCATCGCAGGTGTCTCTGAGTTTCTCTGTGGCTTCATCTCTGGAATGAACATTAACATACAATGAAAATTAGACAGACTAATCATTTTATTGTAAGTCTCAAAAGTTTAATAATTAGAATTATTATCTTTAAAATTGACCAATTAAAGTTTATTTCAAAGATAATATTTCTAATGCTACCTGCTGCATTCTGGTAAGAATATAATTACCTACATAGATGTTTTTAGTCTAGAATATTCAACTAATTTACATTTTACTTCCATAGACAGTAGACACATAATTATGGACATCTAATGATTAAAAAGTTTGTATTAATTGTTCATATAGCTGGTATTGTATTTTGTAAATAAAATTTATAAAATTAGTACTATCATATTTTGGGATTGGTTTTATTATGTTAATTCTAATAGAATGTCAATGAGTTGTGTAAAATTATGTAAAATCCAAATAGGTACCTATACAAGAATGACTATATGGTACTGTCATCATCCAGTCCAGTATTCCAACATCATCAAATTCATTAAAATAATTGCAAACCCAGGTAATATGCTATGTACAAGTCTTGACCCAAACATTGGATAACAAGTTTAATGAGATAAAAAGGCTATCAGATAGATTCAAATAAGATCTAATTATTCTAATAGATACTGGAAACATTTCTTTTAGGTTGAGCTTAAAATTAATGTGAAGATAATAATACAATTAAGCAAACTTACCGAGTGATATCACCCCAATACCATTCGGCATTCTCCAAACTCTCTTCGGCTGACTTTTGAGGGGCTCCTATTTCAACCATTATTTCATCACTATTACTCAAAGTTCATGCATCATGAGATTTTCACTTAAAACATCAAAAACTAACACAAACTTAATAGCCTTTAGCACACTTGCCGAGTATATTCGACCATCGTAGCGGCTATATCACCAAACTTCCGCATTCGAGGTTACAAAGAAAATCACCAACTAATTCTTACTCAAAACATTTTATACAACAATTTAACACTATTTTACACAGAATTTAAATGTACACTGTAAGTCAAAATACGGCAAAACTTGAATTGCACTCCAAAAAAGAGGTATCTAGATCACAAAGGAAATGGGCAAAAGTATGATGATTGTTGCTATGGCACTATTACTTCCCTATACCTTCACGTAAAAGTTTTTCTTGAAGGACATCAAATTAACATGTTGGAAAAAGATATTTTAAATTCATGTTTTATACAAATAAATGAGTAAAACTCGTTCACTTCCTTTTTTCAGTCAAACACTAGCACCAAACCCGTCCGCCATCTAATCGCCATTAAATTAAAAAAAAGATGCTGCTTGCAAGTGATGTCGTACCAATCGATTAATTCGCCAATAAGAAATTAATCGACTGCTGACACAAAAACTTACTAAAACAGGAGTATTAACTTCAACAGTAAATACATATTAGATAAAAAAAAAACAAAATTTAGGTACTCACTGTGTTTCGACGACTTTTCTAAAAAATCTGAAAGGTTTTCTTGAAAAAACTAAAATTTTCTTAGACTTTAACAAGGGACTGTTATGTTGAAATTGGACTAAAATAGACAAAAAAATATGGCAACACATATTTCTGTCGACGGGCATCGACGGGTGGCAACTGGCATGCGAAGTGTCTTTGTAAATTACGTGCATTTGTATTAATCAAAAATGTTTTTTTATTTTCATTAGCTTGTGCATTGTGAAATTAAAGTAAAATCAAATAATGTATTAATACGTCGGACTAATGATATTACATAAAAGGAAGTAGGCTCAAAAAAATCGGTGTTTTACAGAAATGTTATTTTTCTGTGGACAAAATCACCGATCCTCAAAATGTGTTTCAAAATTGGCACAATAATATTTTGCACATTTTTCGTATTTGTTTCTTCTACACACATAAAGGGAGAGTTTTCGACAAATGATTTTTTCAAGTTCCTAGTGAAATTTGGGTTCCAGAAGACAGATATTCATTATCAAAAGGAAACATATGGATATATCTTTGGGAACATTACCGCGAATGTTTCATTCAAGTATCCTATAACATTTGCTGTTTTAGATAGAGGCCACTTTTTACACTATTATAAGAGCCGAGATATTGTTGATAAGGAGTTAGCATGTCAGGTTATGTTTCAAAACCTGAATGGAACTGCTTACCATCCCAAATGTAACGCCTACGGTCAAGATCTATTTAGAAGAATTCCATGTCCTAAAGGCGAATTGTGTGTTGATGAAGATACACCTTGGAATGTGATAAAGAAGAACCAGTTCACATATGTTATCCAAAATTCTGGACAACCAAGGTATTTTCGCACTAATAACAAACCAGTTTATTTTTACATGATTTTCCTGTTCAATTTTATTAAGATTCAAGACTTTGTTTGTTCATACAATGAAAAATATTGGTTTTACATTCAAATTTTAAATTGTAATGCCTGTTGTTATTCATTTGATTCCTTAAATTATCATAAAGTTAAGTTAAAATCATATAAAAGTAGTTCACTGCTTTGCGAATTGATAATGTAATTTATGATAATCTGTGAAGTTAACTATTTCATTTTCTCTTAGGTTCTGGTATGTATCAATGGTATCATGTTACCTTGATGAAGTTACTTGTACATGGCATCACTACACTGGAGCACCCTCATCGGACAACAAAACCCTAACCAATATACCACAGATTATTAACTATGATTTCTGGCTGGTCAATGGAAGTCCAAATTTGTCATTTTACAATACTCTACTGTACCAGTTCTCATTTGACAGGCAGAATACCTTAGAGTTGTATCTAGTGTTTTGGCTATGCTATATTATCTTATTGCCAGTCCAGATATATGCAGTCAGGTAAGACCTCTATCAATATTTTCCAATTATTTATATTTGTATGTTGTTTTGTCTCACACTATAATTTACAAGACAATTAATACATTTTCAGCGATTTTCACTACAAAAAATTTAAATTGATTGAGTAAGCAGTATTTTGTATATTCTTGTGATATTTTTGTGTTTACCAAAGCTATGTTTATAACTGCTTTCTCTATTCATATATTTCAGATATGTCATTGAAATATTATCTCCATGTAATCTGTATTTGTATTGATCATGTTATTGCTATTACTATATAAATTGCATTATTGCTTGGAATTGTGTTAGGAATGTTGTTTTAACTGGATTGTTTTATTTCAGAACTCAAAAGCACCCTGTGACTAAGTTGTTTACATTCAGTCTTGTTCTGGAGTTCATTGCCTTGTGCTTCAATGTACTGCATACTGTGAAGTTCGCTGTGGATGGTGTAGGGTTCGCTGGGTTGGCTGCAGCTGGAGATGTCTTAGATATCATGAGCAGAGTGAGTTACTATATTTTACTTATCACTGAACCAGTGTTAATAAAACATTTATAGTATAATAGGTTAGCATATTACATGGCTAATGATGTTACGAAAGCCATTAGTAAAATAAAACTTCATTATACATCGCCATTAACAGCTAGATTATACTGTTGATAAAAACTTCTCATTGTATAAAACTTACTTAAAATAACAGTCAATCCATATTTCAATTTTGTTGCAAAAATGTTGATGCACATCATTCAATATTGTATATTCATTTATCTGTGTCCTTATCTTATTTGTGGGCTCATAATACAACCAACAGCTGTTAGTTCATAATGACCTTATTACTAACTGATATAGGTTGATAATGAGATTGAACTAGATCTTCTCATAACACATTTTTAGTAGAACCTCATGTCTCTAAACTCAAAAGATTCTTGAGAAGGTAGACAAAAGTAGGACTAGGAACCACTCTAGAAGAACATACTCTGACCATATTTTATAAGAGAGATTCTAACATTTTATTCCATTGAATGACCAGATGCATAAATGTGGTAGGAACTAACAAACTAGAAAACATGGTAGTAGATGGCACTCCTTAGTTTCTGCTTACCCAGCCTATGGGACGATGGCGTAAGTTTATGTATGTACTCGTGTTTAAACATAAAATTATTTAAATTGGTATTTCTAAATCAATTGTATGTAGGCTGATTGTTATAAAATTCTTGACCTTGTTACTAGTAAACTGAGAAAGTCATATTATAATAATGTCTTACTAGTTTTTCTTAGCTATTCTAGAAGCATAAACATTTATAATAACATAGAAGTTAGTCAATGTATATTTTTGTAGCATAAAAACATAACTAAAATTCAATTTCTTCTATGCCAGTCCTTGTACTGTATGGTTGGGTTTTGAATTTTTGGTGTTGATGAAACATTTCTATTGCGTATTTTGATATACCAACAGTCCACCATGTTTAAATGTAACATCACCGCATGGGTTAATTTAATTTTAATTTAGGTAAGAATTACACATATTTACGTAAAATCTCTTGGGATTTTCCTCATCCAATACCTACATTTCCCATACGTATGTGTATGTATGCCCATACATATTTTACATGTATAGGTATGGAAAATTCAATTTTTCCTCATTTTGATATGCATGCTGGAAAAGATTATGGTTTAACCTGTAGGTAGTACAGTGACAGTGTTTAATTTAACGTAGACATTAAACTTCTATCAGAATTAGCGCAAATTCAATTCAGCTCATTATGTGCCTAAAAGTTTAAGGTCATAGGTATATATTGCTAATTTTAATTAGATACCACATTGAAACAGAATTTCAATATAGCTATCGCGTTTTATATATGACATCGTTATTTATATGAATATCTTATCACTAACTGAAATACCGTAAATGTCTACTGCAAGTTATCTGCCATAAAACCAAGCAGAATAATAATATGTGCAATAAATTATTCTTTTTCAGACACTTTTCATGTTGCTCCTACTTTTGTTGGCAAAAGGTTGGGCAGTGACCAGGCTGGAGCTCACATACAAACCTCTGGTCTTTGGAGTATGGCTGGCTTACGGAATAGTACATATTCTACTTTATGTGTGGAATACCGTAAGTATAGTTTAATTCTCTACCAATTATACATTGATTTTAAAGGTAAACACTACAATTTTACACACTAAATTGCTTGTTAAAGGAAATGTTTGTGTGTGTGATGTAATAAAATCTATGCACACTTTTGTTCTGTACTACTTAGATATGAATAACATTTCCATGCATATTGTTCTAATGTGTATTATAAAAACATGTTTATATGGAAAGTACAATTAATGTCAGTAGGCAGATCTATTGTGAATTAATTTACATAACTACAGAAAACGTCTTTGTAAACTGTGTACTTTCTGTTTCTAGACGGAAGTGGATATTATTGAAGAAATAGATGAATACCAGACATGGCCTGGCTGGTTGATCCTGGCTCTGCGAGTAGCAATCATGACGTGGTTCGTACTCGAACTTCGGTACACGATGATGTACGAACACAACATGCCAAAACTTAATTTCTTACTACACTTTGGCGCTTCAAGCCTCGTGTGGTTTGTTTATTTGCCGATTATAGCGCTCATAGCGCTACAGATCAGCCCTCTATGGAGGTTCAAGTTTTTATTAGGTGAGTTTCAATTCTTCACTATGTAATAAACAATTACATTAGAGTGCCTAATGTGAGTTTTTTTTACGTTAACGCGACCGACCCGTTTACTACGTTCAGCGTTCTGATTGGGTGCTCCAAGCTAATCAACCAATCACAGGGCTAAACGCGGTAACGTAAACGTAAAAATAACTCACGCTGATTACCAAATACCGAAAGGCTACTCAATTTTAAGTTGTGCTTAAATATCGTGCCATCTCTGTCATTTTACAAGGAATTTATAGAGACAGAACTACACTGATGCGCGAATTAAAATTGATTGGCGTTTGAATATTTGGATATAAGTACCCTGATCATCGAAATACATTCATTTAAATTATTTAGCTATTAGAAAGTAGGTTGTAGTATAAAAAAGTAATTATCACTCATTTAAATTACACCTATTATAATTATTCAACGTTATTCTTTCAAGTATTATACATAGGTATATTGTTAATATTTCCTTATCAAATTAGTTATGAGTGGTCACAATTTAATAGTGAAACTTAATTATGCTTGACCATGTATTCACAATTATTATCAATATTATCCTTATATGACTAAGATGAGAAGTAAAATCTGACTAAATTATTACGTAGTTGCATAAAACAACGCTAATAGTGTAGGTATTTCCGAATACGAGTAATTAACGAATTTATTTCCACTTAACATACCTAAGTACCGTACGTAACGTAAGTATAACTACGTAAGCTGAAGCGCATGCACCATACAGCTGTGGTAATCACTTTTCAATTTCAACCTTATAAACTAGTTGATAAGGTTGAAATTCGTCAATTGGTCTTGTTAAATGTGGTTTATCTTTAATACAACTCGATATATACTTTAGAGGTATAGAAATTATTGTTTCTTTTCCAGGGATCACATATTCAGCGGATTGTCTCGCTTTTTGTGTAATGTCACACTTGCTGTGGCCGACACGCTCAGAACAGTACTTATTACTAGCGCCCACTGATTATACAGGTATGTATTAAAGTTAATCATAGGCTAGACTGATTTTACCTGCCTGCAAAGTTGCTGGGCAACCAGCAGCTGTGTGACGTGTCGTAGGTTAGCGTCCCGCACGGAACAATTTTTTGTGTGACCCACAAATTTTTATTTCGGATCTGAGTCTGTATTATGGGACTTTGTATTGTAAACCCACCCATGACTCAGGAAAAATTAAGTACTAGGGTATGTTAAAATCCCCTACAGCACGTAATTATTAGTGTCCTTCCAAAGGTCGTTATTGATTAGTAATGTAATAACTAATGGGAAAATGAAATAGATAACATTCATGATTTTACATTAAATCGACAATTCTATGAAAATTTTATTTAAAAATCAATTTCTGTTTCAAAGGTTATTATTGATTTATATAATGGGAAAATGAATAATCGTGATTTCAAATTCAGTAGGCGATTCCATGAAATTTTAACCTATAAATAAATTGGCAAATCCCTGTTATGTCGAATAATTATATTCAGGGGATTCACTTGGAACTTTACTTTGTACGTTTACTCACATAGTACCAAAATGGAATTATGGAAATTTTTAACCATTATTACGTGAGTAAGCCGAAAACATAATAATTAATTTAGTATCGCTGAAATACTCAAACGTCACTCAATTTTAAGTCGTGCTTAGGTATTATAGTTCTGCCACTAAAAATTCTCCGTAAAATGACGGAGATGGCATGATTTATTTATTTTATTTATCACTACATAGTATAAAACAAAGTCGCTATCCGCCGTCTGTCTGTCCGTATGTATGGTTAAATCTTTAAAACTACGCAACCGATATTGATGCGGTTTTTTTAATAGGTAGAGTGATTCTTAAGGAAGATTTATATGTGTAATATATTGTATATGTAAAATACATGCATTTTGCATCCGTGCGAAGCCGAACATATGACAGACTGAAATCATACACTTTACATCTTAATTATAAATAGTGAGTGAACCTAAAGTCCAATTACAGCTGTATATAACCTACTTACAACAAATTACATAAACAATTCCCAAATGTTAATTCATTTTTCTATACCAAATTATGTTCAATTTATGAAAACTAGGAATTACTAAAAAGTGACCATACAAGTAATCAAAAGGTACAAAGGAACAAATATTTAAGTTCAACTTAAAATTGAGTAACCTTTATGTATTCGGGCGCGGGCATGTCTCTCGAAAGTTTTAGACCATTATTATATTTCATTTTTGCATGTAATTGTTTCGCTCACAAACTCTAATCTAATCTTCTCTCGGGCGTTTGTTTATTACATCGTTGTAATGTAATCATCATAATAATAAATAATTAACGTGATAATGCACGGACATATTGTAGACTAGATTCTCCCAGCGGCTTCGCACGTGAGTACCCTGTTACTCCGACCATAATCTAGAACTTAACGGGTTACCGGGGCTCCGGTTCGAAGTGCAGGAATAGAAACGGGGTGGTTTTTAGTCAGTAAGAGTCTGACACTCCCTCCCGCCTCACCCAGGCGGGAGAAGTCATTCGATGATTTCCCCCCCTTAAAATAAAGACCATAATCTACCCCTATTCCAAATTATATCCTTATCCCTTCAGTCGTTTTGACTTCATCGAGTAACAAACACATACAAACTTATAAACCTTTGCATTTATAAATATTAGTAAGATATATCCAGAGTATAGATACCTAAAAATGAAGGTTACAATAAATTAATCTGGTTCTGTTTTAAAAACTTACTAATGAAAGTAATTTTCGTAGAAAGGCTCCTTATAAATGAGTCAAAATTACACTACTGAAGTTGCCCGTAAACATTGTTACTACTGACCGACCATAGTGTAAAATTACAATGTTCCTCATTGTCCTTTGTATTATATTTACAAGCTTATCAACATAGAATGTCGACATTTACCATTTTGCAAGACTGGTACTTAGAAAAACGGTGGGCGCAAATACCGCCTCTGATAAATAATATGAATTGCCATTTAGCAACCATTTTTCTGTTTTCATTCAACAGTTGTATTAGTGTCAAATGTACCTATATAAAGGTAGATACTTACTTTTCATTAAATGATTTGAATTAAATGGCGTACAGACATTTCGATTGTGCCTGGTATATGGTAATAAGCTCACCCCGTATTACATGGGACTCATAACATAAATAATGAAAAGTGGGTGTTACATTGTACAATGGCAATAAGTGCCGTAATGTGCACCTCTGCCTACCTCTTCGGGGATAAAAGGCGTGATGTTATGTTAATTTATCACAACCATCAAATCATTACAAACCTTGTGCCAAATATCAGGCACATACAAACGTACTTATATATATTTGGCATTACCGTACAGTATTAAATAAAAAGGTATTTACTTTAATTAAGTACTAAAAAATATCGAAAACCTAAAATTTCGTATTCATTCCTTCACTTACAGACTCGTAAATGACCTAGAATCATGTTCAGTACGAGCACGAGCTTAAATATAAGTCTACTTACTATAGCAGTTAAGCTAGTCTTTATTTGTACAAAAAGATAATTTATATTAAATATTTAATTTATCAACAAAAATAATCATACCATAATAAAATATGATCGTCCACAATCGTAGGTTGGATTAAGTAGTGCCAACATACTTTGGATTGCTATCAAGTATCAGTTCTTTTTGTTCTCAACTCAAATGATTTTTATCAAAGTTATCGAAACACTCGATCTATCACTGAACATCATGTTGTAATGGAAACAACGGTATGCCTGATTAGGTACAAGCAGCGTGCATTAACATCGATGTGATATTTTTCAATAATCTTATCAAATATGCCTAGAAATTTCTTTACATTCTTTGTGCTATTTAATTTTTTCACTTTAGATCGCACTTTAACGTCCATGAGATATTATTATTTGCCTCATTAATCTAGGAGTCTTAAGAATTGCATATTTTAAGACTTTGACTGCCAATAAAAAACACTTGAAGGTAAATCCTCCGCTAACGCCGGTCACCGGTAACCCCCATGGCGTTAAACGTGTTAATATTCCTAGTCAACTGTCTAGTAGGAGAAAGATTTAATGTGAAAATAACACCTGGTCCGCTGCTCTTTGTTCTATTAACGACTTAGAAATGAAATGGTGTAAAAATCTAGTCACTGAACAATTATCATCAAATAAAATTTTCTATATTTTCAGCGGGCATAGAAGAACTAGATGAATTCAACGAGTCACCTCATGTGGTACACAGCGACACTGTGGCTCTCACCACGGCCGAGTGCATCAACGCAGACGACGAAGAGATCATATTTACCAGAGCAGCACACAAAAATGGCACCGCCTTCTCATAGCAACACCAACAAACCTGAGAGGATACTGTCATATAACGTTCAGGGCACAACCCTCGAATGAATGAAATTATGAATTTACACGATCGAAATTATTTACTAATATTGGTCTCATTTAATAACAATCTGTCTCCAATATTTATGTGGTAAACGTTTTGTGGATTGTGTCGATTTAATGCTGTGAATGTAAATTTGTAAATCGAATGGAGTTTTATGAAGGAGTGATAGAAAATCGAATATAAGCGCTGTATTCACATATGGCCGATAGTAAATTTTAAATTAATGTATCCTGCTGTGTGATATTCAAGTACATTGATTCCTTAATGAAAATCGTTAAAAGCACAAAGTATTGGGGGTAAACTAAGATTACATGGTTATATGTAAGGGAAATACATAGTTCCGGTCTCAAAGCGACCGTGTCCACATGTCAATTAACAAGTTTATTTATTTTCTTGTTTCAAGATTATAATGACATACTAAGAGTGAAGTATCACAAATGTTTTATGTGCCAACGATTGAAACGACTATTATGCAATATGGAGAATATTATTGCAAGATACCTATAAATGTAAGAGTATTCGTAATCATTGTGTCTTTGTGAAAAATGTCTGAATTTACCAAAATATATTTAAGAAAATGAGTGTTTAAAAGTGCTGTTAAAGTTGAATGGATATTTTCGTGTTGTATGAATTGTTTTGTATTGTTCTGATGCACTTTTGGATTGTTCGTCTCACCCATATCTTGGTACTTATTTACGATTTACTTAAATTGTTTGTTATTAAACAATAAAAGCACGGTGATTCTGGATGTACCTGAGTATAGTAAAATTATAATATTTGCGTAGTAGCACTAACATACTTACAAATGCACTGATTAATGTAATATAAACCGCGCAACAATCGAAACAGAATCAATATTAGTTTTTATGACATCGTTTTAAAGTTGCTTTTGCTTTAGCCATAAAATGACATTAGTAAAATATGTATTCAAAAAATCAGAACGTACAAAATTGTATTACCGTTTGGTTGGTATTAACTATTAATGTATTATTTCGGAATGAGATCGAATAATGTTGATACGGGTCGGTGTTAAATGTTCGCTAGTGAAATCGAATTCTTATGAAAAATTGCTGATACATTTTGTATACAAGATACTAAATAGATACTTGAATATAACAAATAGATTCGTGATGTACAGTGACTTTTAGAAATGTTAAAGTACAATTAGATCTCAAATTGATGTTATCATTGTGATTTTTATAAAGAAATGGGCAGCTGAGTTATATTTTTGTCAATGTCTAAATTTTTTTGCTTTTCGTGTTAGCTGTCTAGTTATTATGTATGTATAAATTATTTAAATGAATCGCCAAATCAACTAAATTAAATGAACACAAAATTAAAATTATTAGGTCAAGGTAAAATTGCTTCTGATGCATTCTTTTTAGCAATCTTTAGAAATTAAAAATCTAGGAGAGCATGCTCTTTAAAAATTCTAGAATAGTTGGATTCGAGCAAATTTTTTCGTAATAGAGGTGGCAAATAAAATACCTTTTTTATTCACAGATGTAATTTGTGTTCAGCATGCTCTTTATACTCTATGTCTTAACATTATTGTTTTAAACATAATGTCGTGTCAACGTAGCGTAAGATTAGAAATGCTAGTGATGTACCTATATTTTATTTACAAAAGATAATTATGATCGGTATTTTTTTGTTCTTTTAAAAAATTATATGACATTAAGATGAAGATGTACCGCGTAAGTGTGACATTTTAAGGTTATACTTTGTGAAAAAGATGTTATTATTTTTGCAGTTAGTTAATCAATACAGAGTTGTTTGTAACGAAATTATCTGATGATGTGTTTGAATGGAGTACCTAAAACTGAATTTTTAATTTAATATGATTTTTCGCAAACACGTTGCTTACCATGTAATAATGACCAAAATGTATTATACCACAATTTTACTAAACATTTACACGTCTTGCCGAATATTTTATTCACTTTTAATTATCTTTAGTGTGATTGAATATAGTTAATGTTGTGTATAAATCGAATACATTACACATACGCACGTTTGGTAAGCGTTTGCGAAAAAGAAGCTCAATTAATTCTTTTATAATTCCATTACTTTGAAATTCATCACAAATAAAATACTTGAACAAAGTTTTGATTTATATGAACAATAAAAGACGCGTCCGTCTAGCATGATATTATTTAATTAATGGGGGCTGTATTTTTTGCTTATCAGATGGCACTAGTGTAAACCTCTCGTTTTTCGTCCAATAGGGAATTAGCTAGTGTCACACCATTGGACGTTCAATATTTGACAGCTACAGTGATTGGGCAAAAAACCTCTTGGTACATTTACGCCGTATGGTGACCAAAATAACGGTAACCCCCATTATAACCGTGGTTATAAAGTATTTATTTTTTTAATCTCTAGCCTTATTAAGTAAGGTTGAAACGTTGAAGAACCACACGCCCAGCTTTTTGTTTAATTACTTTGATTTGATGTTTAATTAATTATTCGTAACAGCTCACGGGCGCGCCCACTTGTATGTACATTTTAATAACAGAGTATGCTGCGAGTCATGTGTGACTAAAATGGAGCTTATTTATTTTTTTAAAGAATTTTAATGATTATATGGACTAAGTTACATCACATAAACTGTTTATATAAGAATCTTTTTGTTATGTGACGTTTTTATGTGGATATCTGTATGTGGTGTGAGAAATGCAACATAATGATTCCTATTGACTTTCTTGCTTTTATTTCATTTAAATTAATTACTATAACCTGACTACAACCTTATGTTTACTCAAATATTTGAAGTTTGTAGTCGTACAAATGAGGTAAGCGGTTGGACTTTGATGTCGTGTTTAAAAAACAGTTCGGTACTAAGAATTCTACATATGAAATGTTACCTACGTCTAAAATCTATGAAATGCTCTCCAATTAATTTTGTACGATTACAAGCATCACTATAGGTTACTTTAAAACAGGATTTATATTCAAATTCAAAATAAAAACTAATGTACATACCTTATATTTTCTCGATTATCTCAACTTGATCAATGCATATCACTGACGTGTCAAAATGCTGTACCTAAAACCTAACCAACACTTGATATCAAATAACCATTTGATAAGAGATTTCAAATTTTACAGTATTAAAAAAAATCCTTATTTTCAAAAACCTTTCTAGAACAATAATATTCAGCAAAAGCTGAATGTCCTTCAAATCTTTTCCTCATCCTTTTGGAATGAAGGTTAAAATTTATTAATGAGAAATCTGACATAGTACTTACCTAACCCATTCTCATTCCTGTTGTAGTCATTGATGACTCTTTCAGTCCCGGTCATTAAAGGAAAAGCGAGCCTATTACGTTATAATTTCTGACGTCACATTTGCCCTACATAAGTCTTAATGCCTTGACATAAAGCTTAAAGTAACTTGTATTCATCAAATATGTGGCTAAGAATTTTGAATTTAAATATAAATCAAGCTCAAGTATTTTTTATACACTGCTCTCACTTACGCCTATTCCTAAAGTATTGTTCTGTTATCATTATTTGAAATTACTCTTAACATTTTATATTTTGTGTAAAATCCACTTTTATACGTAGTGTTATATAGTTATTTCTAAGCCTTTGTAGGTGTAAATTGAATGTAAATAAACTTTCTTATTATGTACACATCAATTGTCGTTTCATTACGTTTATAGACATCATAAATAATCCCTTATCTACTTATGCACCGTGAAATCTATTTCGTTTTCAGTCCGCAGCAAAACAACTTGCCCTAAGGACTTTCGCTGTATAAAGTAAAAACTAAAATCTCTTCGAGAATTACATGACGTGATGTTTTGATAATGTATTATGAGTTCGTATGCGCTTTCGAAACTTGCTTTCTGCAATGATTCACCTGTTATTTGTTGTTTTAAACTTTTGTATTTCTTTGTAAAACTACTGTATTACCCAGACAGAACCATTTTACTTCGGGATGAAAACGAAATAGATTTTACGGTGTATAATACCTTCTATGTACTTCAGGGACATCTATTTGCTATAGTAAAATGACGCTAAATTATCTAAATATAACAGTAAATAAAGTAGACCTTTGGATCCAAACCGGGCATTATGCTAGTTTTAGGTAGGTACTGGAATATTCTACAGGCATATCAAGTCCACTCGAAACATCAAATAATAAAAAGTAAACATCATCGTGCGTTGCCAATTACATCATTTTTAGTGAGTCGATAAGTACCGCACATGTGATACTTGCGACTTCGAGTATGTAGGTACACAACCACTTAGTGACAAATGCGAATTTAATGCTCAGTTGTCGAATGCTCAACTAATTGAGACGAACATTAGGCAAATGCTTATATCGGTACATAGGTACATTACATAGCCATCGATAATACTAAATAATAATAAGTAAGTAGGTATGTGTTTTTATTTGGTAAACTAAGCTTGAAAAATGAAACAACAAATGCCAACAACAATAATTTATTTTCCCACACACTAGTACATACATCATAAAAGAACTTGAAGCTAGCATAATATGAAGGAGAAATGAATTATAATAACAGGTACAAATAAATACATTTAATCGTAGCCTAACTGTATAGATTTAGAAACCAGGTACATACACATACATATATTAATTATTAAGTCATTTACCATAATACTTATTAAGAAATACTATTAAATTCTAAATCAATGATAAAATGAAGAAACTAGTTACCTATTTCATTATTAAAATACTGATTAAATATAATGCCTGTTTCCTATATTAGATTTCAGATCGCTTTGTTTGTACTTGAAATAAAATAATTCGAAAACCGATTCCAAAAATTCTAACACCTACCGAAATCTATGTGATTCGAAGTCACAACTGCGTCATGGGCCATGGGCAAAATAGCGCTGCATTTAGCAAAAATACACTGGTAGATTAAATAGGTACTAATTGAGTGCAGCAATTAAGCTGTCATATTAATTAAGTACCAAGCATCCATACAATATGCATGCTGCAAAATAACAACAGTCACGAGTCACGTCTATTGTTTGTTTAAAAAATTGATATCGCAAATGGACAAATGCGTTTCGCTTGTCTTTTCTATTATGTTCTAGGGTAGGGCGAGTCCCCATCCCACTGGTTACGCCCATGCTATCAGGTGTTGTCCCCTCGCTTTGTAACCATTACAGATAAGATTACTAATTTGGAATGACTACGAAAACACTTTCAAAGAATTTTAAATTAGTGGTGTCCGGTATACATTTCAACGGAATAAAGATAGGACAGGATAAGACTATAGACAGGAAGTTTTTGCGAAGCGTAGTGCTTCATAGAGGTAGAGACATTACTAAAAATAAAGCATCTCCCATTAAAAATTCAGACGCAATATATGAACATTGCTCCGTAACAAATTTTACTCAGCTGATATATTCCAGTATCATAAAGACATGAGAGAAACCTTCCACGTGATTATGAACTAAGAAGATAGGTCTTGTATATGCTGAGACATTATCATCAAAAAGTCGTTAACCACAACAATCAGATACACCTAAGCTTCGTAACGTTATATAGTAACTCGTCTTGACTAACATTTACCGGTTTCAAGTGAACTCAACCGCTTACACCATCCTTTTTTGTTTAATCCAAGTTAATGACCTTCGTTTTGGCTATGTAAATATTTTATCTAGGTATTTATCAATTTGTGTGATTCGCAATATAGAGATAAAATATACAACTTGTATAAGTACTCCACATGTACTTATTTCAATTCATAGGAATGATTACAAAGCATATCATGCCCGTACTGTCCGCGTTGAGAGAATAAGCACCTGTTTTCTATTATATACGAAATGAACACAATGTAGTACGAATCGTAACAGGCTAGGCACCGATCGATATAGAATAGGAAGCTGACTATCGCGGATGAAATGGTTGACCATTCAAACGTAAAAAGTAGAACAGCGGTTAATACTAGATTATATAACACCGAACTGACCTCATACGGATAAAAATAAACGGTTAAACCCTTTGATCTTAAACCGTTTATATTTAAATCAGTTTATATTAGGAAGGGGTATTGATATTCGTCTTGGCACAGACCTACATATTTAGGGATGATTGGAAGATCATAAGTTATAAGTACATTTTCAGTCACCGTCCTAGCTAATTAAGGTGTCTAGGGTGGAATAATTGACCTTCAGAGATCCACGTTAAGTAATTAATTAGATCGTTAGAAGTAATCGTGTTAATTAGTTTAAGTAGTGTTAGTAATAGACTGCTATCAGTTTGAATTGTATCTTGTTTGTGTAGTGTTAGGTATGAAGATTGATAGGAAATGTCTGCACATTGTATCGTATCGGCTATACATCGCCTATTTGCGTTAGCTGTCTATTTGCGCAACACGTAACGGCTTTCGGATACAAACATCAAATAGATCATATTCTCCCGCGTTAGCACTGATGCCAGGGCTTCAGGTTTATACGAAACGGATAATTTTAGATAGGTAGAGGATGGACGACCTCGCGTGAAGCCATATAAGTGGCTATACATGCTTATCTACCTATAGGCTGCACTTATATCCATCACCGTCTTTAGCACTACAAACCGAATAAACAGCTCTAACATAGAAAAAATCTTTGCACGTGGGACATTAATTGTAACTTTGAAATTTATATTTCTTAACTACAAATTCAAATACTTATTGTAATATAGCGTACATAATTTATAGACGCAATTAGCTAATTACGAATTATAATAACGATAAGCCATAAAATACAATACAGGATTATAAAAAGCGAAACGTAATTTCTTCTTGTTATGCTCACATACAATTTCTGTTTCTCCAATAATGCATTAAGTACTTATGTATGTCGCTAACGTACATAGTATTTTTCATTTTATATACCGATACATAATGTATTTGTACGAATAAAAAACTGTAATACGATGAAATAAGTTTTTATATACAGAGTTAAGAAAATATATTGGTTAACTTTCGAATAAACCTATATTAATGAGAACATTAGACAATATTTTAAACGTTTAGTTACATATTCAATTCATTATTATAATAATTTAATAAATAAAATTTATAACAATAGAAATATCTCTGAAATAGGAATGTACAATAATAAAGACTATACAATTTACTTTATAATACGTAATAATATTTTTATTTACTTAAGTATGTTCATCAGAACTCAAATCGTGAACTAGAAAAATAAATTTATCTGGATTAGGTATTTATAATTTATAATATCAACGATATAATTATAAATATTATATAATTTTTATTTTAAATTGAATTTAGATATTGCCAACGCAGTTATTTAATAATTTTCAACCTTATAATATAGATACTAAGTAATATTTTTAAAACACACTCTTTGTGACACTTAATTCATTTCAGATACTCAATCATTATAACAATAATTTAATTAATCGGCCTAATAGTGGCAACGATAAAAATACTTGACACATTTTACACTTCACAATTGAAATTTCAAATGGGAATTTAATATAATAGCACAGACTTAAAGATGACTGTGCAAAATAAAATAAAAACTCGACTTGGACATACACACTTTTTCTAAATATAATAAAGTCTAATTTGATCAATATTACAGGCTTCAGCTAACATCAATATTCTAAAATAGATCACAGCCCCACTACGGCATTATACACAAAGGTGATATATAAATGGAACTACCAGTATAGCTAGTAGTCATCGAATCCCCTTTAATAGAACATCCGGGATATACCGAAAATAAGGAATGGTAAACATTTCTCATTGCAAGTAATAAACACCACCTCCGCACCGTAGTCGGGTTGTAAACCGCAAATGCATAAAATATCAATATAATATTCTCCAAACTATTCCGAACTATAAATAAATAACAAGATATAATATCACGCGATATACAACGTCTTAACACTACTTATGTGTACCATTACCACAATGTCAGAAACAATGGAAAAATTTGCTAATAAATAAGTATATCCATTCATTTCATAAAACGTTTACAATCACGCTGAAACTTCGTACTAATAAAAAACTATACAAACAAACTGCTCAGATACAAAATGAATAAGAATATATAAATTGCATAAACAAAACATCACCTGATTTAACAAGGACTGTACAAGCGTACATGTTTTTTTTTTATTTCGAGACGTAATTACTAGACAAAATTGTAAACATTCGTGTAAGACCAGAAAATTAACGCTAAAACTTTATCGAATAAATCTTCAATAAAAATGCAAGCATAGTTCTACGAATGGCAAATAGACTAGAAAACAGCACAGCATGACATATTCTGTGCAGAGATTCCGCTCCTCCAGTCTCACTAGCGACAATAAATTTAATATGTAATATGAATTTTCTTTTATTTTACTTTGTATTATGATCAGTTAATAGAAGTACGTAACAAGTTTTTACAGTTAGAATATTAAAACAGTCGTTACAATATTTCAACATTTAGATACACGTATGTTTGCGGACAAACAATTTATGGGCGTTTTCTTCATACCCGATAATCTAATTTTAAAACTTGTTTATACATCTTCTTATTCACACAAATCTGAATGAATATTATAATCAAACCTTAATCGGAAAAGTATGTGCATACAGATGAAGTCTGTCAAAACAATAGCTATGTATACGACAATTGTACATGAAGCACTATCCTATCACAAACACTGTCTAACCCGAGGAAGATCAAGCGTTTTAAGGAATACTATTTTAGAAATTTACGCTAAATTAACGACGAACTCGTGACGTGGACCCACCGCTCACGGGGGCTAACAGTCGCCTGGGTACGAGAAGACGAGCATTTCCTCTAGCAGGTCTCGAAGCTCCAGGTTGTTTTAAATCAGCTAAATGTGAAGCATAACCGTCGTTCAGAGTCGTTGCCATGTTACTGTACTTTTTACTAATTCGTCCAATAGCATAAATTTGCTTTGGAGAAAGTCCACAGTTATGATATACAGTAATGTCTTTTCCTGACCCGTACGCCGCGTGCATAATAACACTGTGATCAGTTATCAGACTGTTCAAATGTGCTGCCTTATGTCCTAACGGATCAGTTGAAAATCCGTCTGAGAAAAATACTAGACCATGTGGGAAGTTGTGTTCAGCCAGCCATGATATTACTTTTCTTTGTTGCATGTCAGGTCTCCCAGTTATATACAAAATGAGATATCCAAGGTCTTGCCAAAACCTTACGACGTCGACAGCACCAGCTCTTACTTTCGGGTCTCGGCCAGTAACTGACACACTAGCCGTGAAAGATCCATCGATACTGAACACAACACATTCGGTTTGTGGAGGTACAACAGCTAGGTGAAAATTACACATCGTGTGGTCACCTCGAACAACTACTCTTACTGGATATATCCCGCAAGCGACACTTTGCCTTTCTGGTAATGTATATGTTATCCTTCCAGTCTTGTCAGTTACTACAGTCGACAACATGGCCCATTCACCTGCTGGAGGATCTTTCATCATGTAAATGTCCACTTTTTCGCCAGTTAACGTTATCATATCTAATGGGCCGTACATAAAACGGGCAGAAAATGTTTGCGGACATCCCTCTTTTACGATTACGTCATTAGCCCTATGGTTTGCAGCAACATTTTTCAATTTAACTGACGTTCGTTTTCTCATCCATTTTTCTCTTTCTTGTCCAGGTTTAAACATAGAGCATTCTTTATCATCTGAGTGTCCGTAGAGAGCTAAATCAAAATGACCAATTTGGCGCAATATAAAAGCAATGACATCAGAACTCTCCCAATAACTGGCATGAAATAGATGAGGTAAAGCGTTTGTTGGAAAATTGGTCAATCCTTCAGGACAGTACAAAGCGTAGTCTAGTCTTTTAGATCCCCACCATTTTTGCTGCAAAGCATTCATAGTGATCAATGGAATGTTATCTACCAGGCCGCTAACAGTACTTTGTACAGATGCTTCAGAAAGTCTTCTTAATACAGGAGTCGGCGGCATTTGCAAGTGATCTCCAAATAATTGAGGATGACTTTGTATCAATTCCATTAAATGGTAAGGCTGACCATTGCCTAATGGGTATTTTGTATATCTGGCAACATTTATTGGTGGTAAATTAGTGAATCTAGCTGAGAGCAGTGGTTCCAGCCTTGAAGCAACAGGATCCGTTGGATGAAACAAGTTAAATACTTGTTGTACCGGTGGCTTCATAATGTCACGAGATTTGTCGTCAGAAATTTTTCTTGACGCTAATATTAATGACAAGGGGCTACCGAAAGTGAAAAAGTCGCTCACTTCAAATTCAAATTTGATGTGGTTGTCACTCGTGGAAGATGAGCGCCTCCTGGGAGTTGGAGCTTGTAAGTGAGACTTATTGAGGTATTGTGGTTCCATTGGATCATTTGGGATAGTTATTTCTGTATCTAAGATGCTGTTTTCACTGTCATGCCTAGATTGATATTGTAAAGTTCTAATAAGCGCATCATACGCTAGCACAGAACCCATACTGTCACCAACAATGCACACTTGTCCATTAAATCCTTTTCCATCATCAGATCTGAGAAATTCACTGTATGTAGAGTTTGCCGAGTTAATTGTTTTTGTAACGGACTCTGCGTAATCTGGAGATGTGGTGGCAATTAAAGGTATAGCACCAATAGGTATAAGATCGTTTGTTAATGACGGAGATTCAATAGTTGATGGTGAACAATCGAAACTATAAGGACTTAGTGTTGACAATACACCCAAAGCTTCAGTGCAAATAGATGGACATGATACCAGTTTTATGGCTATGTGTCCAATAAGCGTTGGATAATGCTGTCGCATAACTGATTCGAAAGCTCCTTTAAAAGTAGTGACATCCGATTTTTTGGCTGTCATATCTACATTAGCATCTAAGACACTTCCAGCATGAAAAACAAGTATCAAAACAGTAGTAGGACATGAACTATGAACAGGAGTCTCTGGGCAACCATCAACACTGGGATGGCTCTGAAGATTAGGCATTCTGCGCGACCCTCTTTCAGAGGTCACACGTTTTAAGAAAGAAGGATTAAAAATACTATCTTCTTGACTGTTATCACCTTGAGTTGGTGAAATGTCAATGTCAGCTTCATCAAGAGAACACATGGAAGACCATTTATTAAATGAGGATTCACAGTCATAGAACTCATCTTCTGAACCTGTTTCTGTTTCTGATTCTCTAACAAGAGTTTCCATTCTCCAGTTAGCAGCTTGTGCTTGCAAACTTTTAATAGACCCAGATGAAGATGATCTAAGATTAGTTTTAGACGATTTGTGTTCTGATGGTGGGGTTCCTTCAGGTGTCAGATGCTTCTGAATTCTTTTTTCAGTGTTTTTCTTAGTAACCATTGGTGTTGGCACATCTTCATTCTTTTCCAAACTGCTCATTGTAGCTGCCAGAGACTTGGAATTCTCTTCAGAGAGATCTTGTTCATCACTTGTATCACCAGCCATTTTCTTTTGCAAAGCCAATTGTGTTTGGCGCTCAATCTCTCTTATATCATCCATTGTAAGGCCATACCATTCATCTTGCCATGCCCATGCTTGACGATGAGCTCTTAGCATGGTTTTCCGTAATGCAACATCATGTATAAATTTTTCTAATTTTGTTTGCATACCCCAATATCTGAATTCAACTTTACAGAGTTTATAAGCACACATGAGAGACTTTCCATTTGGCAAGGGTTGAGGCTTGCCTTGTACTTCACTCCAATATTCTTCAAGCCAGTTATCATTAAGCGGTCCTCTATTACATTTTTGTGAGTAAAATAGTTTAGGATCCTCTTCTTTGATGTAGTCAGCACCATATAGCTGATCTTTACAAACATCAATAACATCAACTATTCTACTTTTTAAATCACTGCCAGTTAGATTGAAGACATTTTCTTGGTGGCCATTATCAGAATAATAATAAGTTTCTATTTCTAATGAAAATTTTTCAACAAATGGACATGTGTATCTGGTTTTTGTATAAGGATAGGCGTTCCAAGCTTCTTCAGAAACTGTTAAGGCAGATTTTGGAAGTAAACTTTTAAACCAGCCGGGTAAATGGCTACCAACATGATAAATTTTCTGAGTGTACTGACCTTTTCCGCCAGGACCATCTTCGTATGGTTCATTAACTAAAATCTCAACGCCACTACCTTCACCAGAACTTTCCTCTCTGCTCTTTTTAGCTATCATATACAGCTGTGCAATCCTGTATTCCTCTACAGTGAGAGGTAGTGGTATCCGGTACTCTTTAATCAACATTTTTGCAATCTACTTCGAACATCCAATATAATGAAACATATTCTGTAACAAAGAATAAATTGATGTGTTACAAATACATACATATAGTTGGAACAGTGCCACTAAAGACATAAAAATCAAACATGAAAAAATATTCACTAGGTAGGTATCTACCTACTTTGATATCTATAATAAACTCTTCCAGTTCAATTAAGTAAGTCTAAGTAAGTATATAAATTGATAAAATATGCAAATTTATATGAGGAAGCAGTTAAACACCATCTGATTCTTATACGCATAATATGAATATCGTCTGGAGCTAACATGCTTCTAAACACCGCGGATGTTTTTATTATTAAACACTATCTACCTAGATAATAAAAACGTAATTATAAACTAGTCAATCAATCAGTGCACGCACTCGTTATCTTTCATTTTAACAGATCACTTAAATACGATATGAAAGGGATTCTAATGTTTAATACTTTTATATCCACCGTTTAATTGCACTTAGATAGCGCCAGATAAAATGTGTATATCTATTTTGTTGCTGTAAAACATTTTGGCATAATTTGTTACAAGACCGCTAACACGGACATTTACCTCAACAGATCCAAATAGTAAGAACACTACATTACACTTCACACATCATTTTTAATTCAATAATTTCTGTTTTTCACAAAACACATCCCTCCCAAGCACGGATCTGCGGATGAACTTTGACATTTTCGAGATCGTAATGTCAATATGGCCTAAGTGCCATTCCTTTTCATGTTGTACATACGACCATCAGCATCTCACAATAGAAATAAGGGAAGCGACTGTGTCCACAGAAAAAATATCAATTGCAAACGCTTCGTACGACTGCACGATATCACTTCCTATGTTAGACTATTTCACAAACAAAATGCAACATCAAATCCACTGTTCCATGAGTAAAGTAAATAAATGTACTTTGTATACAGCTAGCAAAGTTTATGTTCCTATATGCGCGATCGTAGATTGGAACGCTGTTGATTCTGCGTAGGTACGATGAAGTCATATTCATAGTCTGTCAATTTCATGACTTTAAATCAAATTAGGTATCTACTATCGCAATACTATTGGTGATGGTTTTTTCTAAATATTCAGATTCTTATGTTAGTGAAAAATACAGAATATTAGGAAATGACCTTTCTTGCTCATACTAACGTTAATAACGTAAAAAGTACCTACCTACTAAATTATTCTACTTACTTTTTTAGTCGGAAACGAATACAAATTGATCATAGGATAAAGAAAGATAATAAGAGTAGGCATTATTAAACAATATCACATAAATCACTTATTAAGCATACCTACCTTTCACAAATGTACCTACTTAATTTATTTTTGTCCTGATACTCAGTTATCTGATATAAAAGAAGCATTTATGCAAATTTCGGATATGAAACTCAAAGACAAAAGTATGAAATAATTAATATCATAAGAAGTGTACTGTACCTACCTACTTACCAAATGACGACGGAGCAATTTGCTGTACTATGAATACGACCCTCTTTACTAGATGGACATGAGAAAATCGATAGCAGTCGTCGCAGAATTAAAGCGTAGTCGTATTATTTATACATATTTATCTACTCGGTTAACCATTATGCTGGTTGAACTAGCTGCATTTACATATTACTGAAGCAGAAAGCTTGTTAATCCAGTTATTAAATTAAATATGCGCACATTTTTTGTAAGAGTCAGTTAGTACCTTCTATCTAAGTTCTAGTTAACACGTATTGGTAATCTACTCAAGTACCTAAATGTCCAAGCTAACGTCTTAATAATTTTTAAAATAGGTACATAACGCGTGTATATTTCTTCGACGTTTTCCAAACTAGAGATGACTGTTCATATTGCTATTAAATTATTGAAATACCTACCTTCGTTTCTGTACCGCATCTAGTAGGTAGAAACTGCTGCTATGCTATTCGTGTTAGCTATTTGATTTAATAGTTTGCAGAAAAATGTTAATTAGTCTTGATAACAAATACTAAACCTATCTTAACATGCCTAAGTGTCTACGGTATGTTCATGCCATGTACCATGTGACTTATAGGTACCCACTTACGTTTAGCAATGAATCACTGTTTGTAAATGTATGAATAAAAACCTATACTATTTACCTAGCGACTTTACGAGGTCCATGGTACAATAAATTATGTTTGCTTGATAAAGGTATGCTGTTCTTGTTGGTACCTACCTCGTTGATATTCATTATATTCTTAGTTGTTATGGTATCGCAAATGTTGGACGGAAATAAAGTCTATTTATCGTTTTGAATCTGACACTGTTATTTTCCTTAACGAAGTTTGGCTCAATGGGAGACTGTTTAGTACGGGCCGAGATGACATAACGTACAGTACAACTAGGGATTGAACCTAGAAAGACATATTTTTTTTAAAATAAGTCGTTAAATATTTGGGGTCAGTTGATGGGATAAGAGGGTAAAACAAAATTAGACACTAAATTAACCAAAAATCATGGGTTATTCACGTAAACATTCTGAGAAAAGCTCTACTACTTTCGAGCCACAGAGGGGTTCTTCCTCATGAGCAGCCATAGTATTTCCACGTGTGTAACCCGCGATGTTTAGTTAATTTAGCATATCTCACGATAATTATTATAAAATAAATTAGACACTGTTTTGTATGGTATAAAACATAATATTTATTGTATACATTCCCACAAAAATATTACACTAATTTTATAAATAAATAATGAAAAAGCTTGGCAAAAAATGGAATAACAAAAAATAAAAATGCAAAAAACTTAACTTGAGCGTTGTGTAATGAGATTATTATCAGAAACCATAAAATTGCATATCTATGTTGCATTGCATCATATACTACGGATTGCAACACGCAAAATCCTTGTCTGAAGCCCGTTAGTAACACGTGTTTCATAACTTAAAGGTTAACTTATTTACATAATCTACTAAGGGTGCATTGCTACGACTACGACAGCGGTATAGGTTTGCATTTATTTATTAATTTTATTTTTTTAGCCGTGGTCGTCCGACTGCAGGGCAAAGGCCTCCCTAACCTTCTTCCACGAGTCTCTTTTTATAGCTTTCTGTGGTCAATTCTTTTCATAGGCGTTCAGTTAATTTCATAGGTTTGCATTACTAGTAAACAATTCAGAGTATATTGTTACCATTTTCGGATGGATTAACCCGTCGTGTGTCTAAACGTGAAACACTATTGTGTCTCATATACAGACATTCAAGCGGTTAAAGTGAATTCTTATTTGTATTTTACATTATTGTATTATTTTCTGTATTTAGAATCTCAGAATTTTGACCAAATTTAGATTGGAAATTCGGAGTACTTTTTTAGCGTTTACTTATTAGTAAATCTAAATATTTATTCAAGAGATATTCTCTTGAATAAATATTTAGATAAAAGATGATCACGTGTTTTTCTGTTTGTGAAATGTTTATTATGCAGCTATAACCGCTACCATGATAAAATAATATAGCGATGTAATCTAAAATGAATAAGTATTTTTATTTTATAACATTCCCATATAATATAATATAGTATATCTTTTATTTACATTTCACATTGCGCCCCTAAAAATATTGGGTGTATTCGACGTTAAGCCATAGAATTTTATAAATAGTTAAGGCACTTTTACAGATTAGGTACTTCGTTTTATTATTAAGCCCAGGAATGGCTAAATCATATTATTCATATTCTTATAAATTCAAATCTCTCTAATTGCATTTTTTTTTTCATTTTTTTAAACAACAATGTACAAAATGTTAACCAACAGTACCACCTTAAACTTAAAAATAGAGTAATAACTTACAAATAAAGAGCTTAATATCAATTTACAGAACAAATAAAAATAAACAAAACTTAGTACATAATAGAATTTCCTTATTTTACAATAGTGTTTTGCAACAGCGATTAATTTAAAAATAGTGTCTATAAAAATCAGTACTCTTTGTGCAATATAAAAAATCTGTTACAATACAATATAAAGTATGTTTCTTATTAAAAATATGTTTGAAAAAATATAATTATCTTTCACCCATTGATCCCGGTTCCAATACTGGCTGTATAAAATAGTGCTTTGTACAAAAAATGCGAAAAATATAAAAAAAACACTGTGCCACAGATACACTAAACTGTATACTCTATGCTATTATGCAGATAATATTTTGGTAATATCCAAAAAGGATTTATGCAGAGCTTCGACATAGTGAGTGCTGTTGTTATGAGACTTGTAACTCGCTACTGCTGCTCCTAGCTTGTCTGGGAATGCTGAATAACTGAAAAAAGGAAAATATTACCTTTAAAACTAATATTATCTAATTGATTATTCATTTGGGCCAATGTATTTTTCAGTTTTTTTAAGTTAAAAGTAAAACAGTTAATTCTAAGAACTCGGGTACCTATAAATATTAAGTAAAGAAACTTACGCAATCCCAAATCCCTCTTTAACAACAGGTCCAAAGCCTCCTGCCATGACGCTGGGCGAAGACAGAGTACTCGTACTCAAAATAGACTTATTCAAGTACTTGTACTCATAAGAATCGAATATTTCTGGTCGAGGCATGTTGTTGTCTTCCGCCATCTTCATTAGCGCAAACATGTGCCGATCAAATCCCTGGCCCATGGCAGCTTCTTTGACGAGTTCTAAATGAAGTTTGGAACATTCGGTCAGTTTACTGCGAAGATCATCGTCAGACCTGTTGTTCGAATGGAGGGTCTCGCAGAATGCCTGGAATTTAGAAAAAGCATACCTATTTATACATTTTGGCTTAGATGGGCTTTGGTCTAATTATTTCGTGCTTAGGTGGTTGAAGGAAAGCCAGTTCTGATATCGAATGGACACTTTTTTACTGCGTATAAACGGAACGCTCCCAAAATGCTTCAAGGCCGTGAATAGGTTGCTTAGATATGGGACGTGCTCCATCGTAGACTGCATCATCGCTTACCACCAGGCGAGATAGTAGAAAAATGGCTGGCTCCCAAATAGAAAGTTTTGATAGGTAATGTTATCATTTCCTTATCATATCTTGAGTTCGATTCCTATATGAAACGAAGAGAGTATTCTGAATGAGTTTGCCATAATATTATGATTATCACCTACCACATAAGTACATTTCTGCACTACAAAAAGGATGAACAGCAGAGAACGCTGTTAGCATTTACCTTACGCTATTGTGTAAAAGTTAAATAAATTAATATTTTTTTAAACATTTCCTCACTCTAGGATTTTTTCGTTTGTTCACAAAAATACAAGTTCACAAACACAAATAAAATTTATCATTCCTATCGGTATGATAAATGGATGCTAGACAAAATAATCTATCTATCTGTTACAGATAATTAAGTATCTGTCTAAGTATATTATATCTTTGACCTACAAATAGCCACGAAGACCAATAAAGATTATGATATGAACAAGAATCGAATGTAATGAAAGTATAAATGAAATAATGTACACTTTTGTTAAAACAAAATAAAAGTAGATAATATATTTACGATTGAGTAAGCCAGTTTATAGGTCAATTATAAATCGGTTACAGATTTCACTAAGGATGGCTGATAATGTAATCAGATTGTGAACTAAATTATCGTAATATTGCTAGCTTAGTAAAGATAAGACGAACATAACGTAATAGAGGGTAGGCAGAGCTGCGGGAATACAATGAAAAAAACACCTACTTTTCATTACAAAAAGAACCTTTATTAGAAAAAGATACTTTGCGTTACCTAACTGGAAAATCGTGCTTACCAGTAAAGCTAAAGTAAGTAAGTAGTAATTGATTTGGTACCTTTGTTTTAAGAGTGCATGGTCGCATAGTTTCAGTTCTCCCATGTTTGAAGGCTGAAGTACTGCAAGACTCGTATGTCCCCACGAAACTACCTTTTAAGAGGTGATGCGCCGCCTGGAAAATCAAAAAATACGAATGTCATTTAATAAAATAAATAAGTGATCCATGTTGGTGACATGTCTGTCGTTCTTTAAATATAAAGCAAGCATTATGTTCTTTAAATAGATACTTTTTAATTTATATTCCAATTATTTTCTTTTATTAATCACTTTGTGTACTGTGAAAATCGAATGAAATAACACACAGTAATTCTTAATTCTAGTGTGTGGCAATGTTTTTTTTTCTATTAATAAAGTTTATCACTCAGATTTATATTTATGGCAGGTAATATTAATTGATTGATATGGACACATTTTAAGTAAAAAGTAATACAATAAGAAAGACTTTTAAAAAGTGACATAAAGCATAGGAATTTGTGAATGTAAAAAAAATGGAAGATGTCAAATTGTAGATTATATTTACCTGGAATGATAGCTGCATAATACAGTCAGGACTAACTTTAAATTTCTTACATGCTGCTTTATTTAAACCTTCATACAAAATATAATCTATGCTGAGTGAATCACACCATGATTTGTACTCCTTCTTGGCATTATCAATAAACTGCTTTGATTTATCATCTAATTTGAATTCTGAAAACAAACAAAAACTCTCAATTAATAAAATTTTTCCTTTGATTTCTAATTTTGGATGAGCTTTTTTTTATTTATTTATAATTTGAACAACCAGTAGATGGTAAATTATCGGTCTTACATCTAAGCACTTACATAATAATAAATTTAATTTCAAGGCCGTTTAAATACGATCATAGACTAATTGTTTGAATTATCAAGAATGTTGATTTAAAAACCTCAATCTGTTGAAGAAAAATAACAATTTGACGTTTAAACTGTGAAATACCAAGCGGTCACCGGTGACCGCAACCTATTGTTCTTTAATTGTGTCTATAAATACGGTACTCGACGAGTTAAAGTTAGATTTTTCTCAAAGACCCACTACAAAAATAAAAAAATGTTATATAGGTAGTTACATTTATACACTATTTCTCACCTAATTTCTGTACACTTATATTACTATCAGCTGGCTTAGATTCTGGATGGATAAATGGTTTTTTCGTGGTTTCGGCATAAATGTCTTGGAAAAATCTCAGCACAGCCACCCCATCGCCCCAGGAATGTTCGAAGTTCACACCAGATCCTCCATCACCAGTTACGATAAGACTGAATGACTTGTCAAACCACCTGTAAAATATTTTTGAGATGATTTCATTATAATTAAAAACTGCTTGTTGCTTAATTGTTAGCAACCATGAATCTACTATAAACAAATAAAATTATCATTTACATCATAGAAGTAAACTAGGATAATAAGTAACAATAACATCTGATTGAATACCCATTTAATAGAGAGATTTGGGTTCATATCCATCTGTGTCATAATTTTTATGATGTGGTGACAGGATTTAGATTCCAGGATAAATGGATCTTTAACTTCCTATATTCCCCCGATTTTAAATTTAGGGGACCATCAAAACTTATTTTCTCCATTTCGGGGAAACATGTTGGGAAAGATGGGAATGAACCGAGATTTCATATAAAATTATTGAGTAAAGAAAAAATAATTTACCTATTAGTTCCATCACTATGAAGATATTTTCTTAAAAGCACACGCTTATCATCATTGATTACATCCTCATCTAACACTAGATTAAATATTGCAGAGTCTATCTTTCTCAAAACTTCACTATTCCCTGTAGACTCTAAATGTACTCGCTGTTGGGCCCATTGGTCCCTGTTCTGAGTTGTCAGTACTCCCAAAGGATACTCGGAAGATGGAGAATTGTCATTCATAACTTTGCTCAGGTTACCAAGAATTTCCTGAGGTGACAGAAGGTTACCTGAAAACCATTATGTATGTTAATCTAATGTATGAACTGAATACATTGATATGTTAATCTTAGGATTAAAGTACAGCGCTAAAATGAAATACTAATCAGATTAAATGAATTGTTTTTCTATTAAAATGGGTGGGTATACATTATCTTATCATGATTAGTTAGAAAATAAATATTATAGGTATTTTTCAGTACTTCGTGTAGAATAAAATATTGAATATCTTACCATCAACATCTAAAACATCAAATACATAAAAGTTTCCTTTTCTCTGTACAACTACATGCTTGCTCTTTGGTTCCCTGAAGATCTCATCCTTATTCTGGCGAGGCAGACGAGTAGCACCAAATAAACCAACAAATTGACTCATGTCCAGTGGAAATACTTTGAATAGATAGGCACCATACCTGTAATTATAAAAACGTAAATGAATAGGGCTTAGTAATACTATAGTAAATAATAAACTTTAATAGGAGGTAAGTATACAGAGGTGGCAGGCCCAAAAGGAGATGGCAGGACGAATTGGACATCTATGACAGGGATTGGCCGCAAAAACCTTTACATAGAGAGGAGTGGAAGGACGGTAGAGAGGCCTTTGCCCTACAGCGGGACGATCATAGAAATAAATAATATAAATTATACAAAGGAGTTAGTTCAAGTTTTTTTATGTTTAAAGTAATTAAAACAAGTAAGCATTTGGTGCTCTGATTGGCTGGCTCCAATAAACCAACCATTCAGAGCGCCAAATGCGGTTTCATTTCAATTATTTTAAACATAAAAGAAATTCGTACTAAGGTCAGTTACATACAAATCTATTTTATAATACTTTAAAATAAAGGTAAATATTTTATACCATGAAATGGCTTCAGGAAGCATTCTTGTAAAATTTCTATAGAGTGGAGTGTCACTTTTCTTGGGGTTCATATGATAAACTTCCGGTTCCAATATCTGTTCTCTTAAAGACAACATGAATCTTACAGCACTGATTAACATATTTGTAGATCTTATGAGCTGATCATTATACTCAGGTCTTACGTCGTTTTGGAACACTATCATAGGATTATAGTTTATAGGCAATGGTACTCTGTCGCGTAAATAGAGATCAAACCAATAATCTGATATATAACTTGTGTGCTTGTTCCTTTTGTCCTTAGCTATAAGTTTTTCTTGGAGAATTTTCCCCTCTTTAGCTATGAAGTTATTAGTACGCTGCTGAGCTTCTTCGAACTGACTGGCAGTCAATAAAGGTCTAAGAGCATTCAAATATCTTTCGCCCGTCTTCGAAAGTTCCGGTATCGGTAAACGAGGCAAAGATTTCTGAAAATGCATAGTCGGTAACTTGCTTCTCTGCAAATATTGATAGTTAGTATCTTTGATGTTTTTCTTCGTAAAATTACGCTGCTGTATGATCTTTTGACACACATTATTTTTGCTTATTAGTTTATTAGCTCCAATCATTTTGAACGACAGTGAAAAAATTTTGGACTTAAAACACTATAGAGTAAAATAAGAAAGTAAACAGAAAGTACTGAAAATATAATTACAATATTTAACGTTTTAAACTCAACTAAAAAACTATAGGTAACTAAAAGTGAAATGTCAAAATGACGATGTCAATGACCTCAAAATGTCAACTTTATTGTCAAAGAAGTCAAAGTCCACTTTGCTAGTGTTGTCTTATTTCTCATTTATTGTTTCACGTGAAATCCTAGAGAGGTACCGTTAGTCGATGTCGATATTCGCATAACTTTTCCTCTTCTACATTTGAAAATGTCAAAGTCAAATCAAAACTGAAAATTGGAATTTTCTTTGCTGATGAAAATGTGATAGCGATCCTAAAATAGATATTTTTGTGCGAATTTAATTGGAATTGTCTAATAATCACTATAAAATATTTAGTCTCTTATTTTTTACATTCAGTATCAAATGACGCTTCTGTAACTATCAATTGTAATAAATTCCATTCAATTAAATAGCCAACATGAATGAACTACCGGAGAATAGCAACAACTCTGGCGGCAATGATTTAGAAACCTTGGATTATTTACGTGGTGTAAAATCGTCAACGTGCTTGTTACTACCGACGACACCTAGTCCTACACCGCTCGATTTCAAACATCCACTATCTGAAGAAATGGGCGACCGTCCGTTTTTAACTCTCAATGACGAGCCCAACATGGTTAATTTACAGACAGGTAAGATATTTAATAATATTTTAAGCGTCTAATAATAATTTCAGTTGTCATAACTGCTGATTATTAATAAAATCTTCAAGTCAGTTGCATCATCATCATCTACATACCAATTGCCAGCGATAAAGGTATTCATTTAAAAATATTATTAATATTATTTTTGAGGTAAAAGGAAACATTTACTCTGATGAAAAATGTAAATTTAAGTTTGTGGAATAATCTCTAATAAATGTTTAATATTTTTTACTACACAGAGCCTAGCAAATTACGATTGTGAAATAAGGTTGATGTTGCAAATTTTCAGATGCATCAGCAGGAGATTCTAGTTCGTCGGGTGACTCGAGCTCTGTTGTTCAAGATCCAGTCAGCGCTCAGCTCATCAATAATATTAGCATGTTGGATTACCAGACATTAAGCAAGAATGGTGACCTGATTATGGGACAAGTAAGTTCCTAGAGTACTTAAAAAAATCTAAATAAATAATTTTTATGTCCATTGCCAATAGTATTTAGAAGTTTAGTAAATAAAAAATTTAATATATAGAAACACTAACAACACAACATTATTCATATTTTTCAGACTGAAGACTGTAAGCTCAATGGCAACCACAATGTCAACGGCAGAAAACTACCCAGCTTTGTTAACTGGAACTGGAGTGTGATCAGGAAAGTACTTCTTTGGATTGTCCTCTCCGGTCTTATTGCCTGTTTGGGCGCTATCATAGGCATGGTGATCACCATCCCAAAAGAATGCAATCCCGACCTTCCTTGGTATCAAGGCAAAGTATTTTATGAAGTATTCCCGGCAAGCTTCAAAGATTCTAACAATGATGGCATGGGTGACTTAAAAGGGCTTCTTAAAAAGCTGGACTACATCCAAGACCTAGGGGCATCAGCTATTAGACTTAACTACATATATCAAGCACAAAAATATCCTGAACAGTACTATAATATTACTTCCTTGGTACAAATAGACAGGAGTGTAGGTGTTCTGAAGGATTTTAGAGATCTGATAAATGAAGTACACAATAGAAACATGTCTTTGATCCTTGACTTACCAGTTGTGTCCATGGCAAAACCTGATTCATCATCAAACTTTACTCAAGCTGTGTTAATATCTAATGAAACAATTACTAACTTTGTTGACCCTACATCAGCGGCAATCATATTTTGGTCCAGTGAAAAAGTTGATGGCTTCTACTTAAAAGATTTAGAACAATTTGTTGATGATATTAGTTTTCCTAGAAGTTTGCAAATGTGGAAACAAGCTATGGGTCATGACAAAATATTAATTGCTAGTGAAAGAGCTTATGAAAAAGCTAAGGGTGGTGCTTTAAATGTTTTGTTATCTAGAGTCGACCTTATTGATGTCCATCTAGATTTACATGAAGGCATCACGGGTTTAAAAAATCGTATTGATAATGTTATTAAGGGTTCTTTGTGGGCAAAACCACACTATCCCTGGGTGCATTGGAATATTGGAAGTATTCATAATGAAAGAATAGCTACCAAACATGTGAACAACACTTTGGTTTTGACAGCTCTTGAGTTAGTTTTGCCTGGCACTGTTAGCATATTTTATGGTGATGAAATTGGACTTGCAGGACTAGGTGATATTGAGGGGGATTTCCACGAACACAAAGATGTTAACAATGTAGTCTCTATGTCATTTTCGAATGAAAAAAATACTGCAGTAATTTTACCTTGGAATTCAAACTCTGAGAGAGAACCCAGCTACCATTTCTTAGAAGTTATAAAAATGTTTACCAAAGTCAGGTTGGAGACGCCAACAATATATTTGCGATCTATTTACAAGGAGGGCAATAATCTGAAAAATATGGAAATTCGTAAAACTGAAGAGAATCTATTTGTTATAGAGCGTTGGTATCCTCGAAGGAATACTTGCGTGTTCGTGGGGAATTTGGGAAGTAAATCTATTACTACTGATTTGTCCACCATGTTTTATGGCGGCACCGTGCTTGCTGGAACAAACTCTTCTCTAGTCGGCCAAGTATTATATTTTGAGAAAATCACGTTTCCTCCCAATTCTGCCATTATATTGAAGCTAGAAAAGTAAATAGGTTTCATCTCTTAAGATATATTTCTACTTCTAGGTTTTTATTGCGAACTTGTTTATGTTTAAGAAATTTCATATTTTATCAAGTATTATTCTTGAAGTTATTATCAATCAGAGATTTATGAATAAGGAAAAATATTTAGATATTATGTCAAATATCAATAGGTAACTATAAAAATGATTGCAACAGAATCTCGCGCTTCCCAAATGATCTGAAAATTAATCTTTAAGTACTTATTATAATTTAACAGTATTAATTAACTACAACACTATGGCAGCTAAACAATTATTGTTTCATTTTATTTTTTTTCTTAGATTTTAGTCAATGTTGTTTGTTCCTGTTGATTTGACTTTATATTGTATTATGATTTGTATTTTAATTATGAAATTGTATCTCATATACATAGTTCCTTTTGTACCAAAGATGTTAGGCAGCTTGAACATAATTGTATAGGACTTAAGTAATAATACTAAAGGAATGTACTTATAAAAAATAAAATAAAAAAATATAATTACAAAAATTTAATATACATTTGTACACATTGAAAACAAATATCATGTACTTAGCATATGTTTATTATGTACACATTACAATATTAATATAATAAATAGTTGTGGAATTATAACACTTTCATTCACTATGATTATAAGCAATGATATACTTATACATAACAGGTAATATATCAAACAGCGAGTATTTCATTACATATTTATTATTATAACCCACTATTTCATAGTGGAACATTGTGAGTTAGGTATTTATTTATTTTATATACTTACAAAAATATATTTGCTGGGCAATTACATAAAACAAACAAATGTTTCAGTAATGCTAGTTGTATGGAATTCTTCAGTATTTATAAATTATTTGAAAGGCACATTTTGTATCACATATTTGCTTAGATTATTAATGTTAACTCTGTGTCTAACATAGACATGATGTGGAATGATTGCTCAGTACTTAACACATGGAGTTTCAGCTTAAATTACACAATAAGATAGCTAAGTGGGTAATTTTGAGTTGCTAACTAAATTTTCTATGTCAGTGATGTCTGTCTTAAAATAATCTGCCAAATTGCTTTGGTATAAATGATCTCTATATACATAGATACGTAAATAATTTCTATCAAACTATTGAGCAAAACGAACGAAAGTAAATGTTTATACAAATATTTGTTTTAAACCCTGAAATCATATTAATGGTAAGCAAAAAGGTTAAAATTTTGCTTATTGTTCTCAATGTAAACAAAATTATTATGTTACATGCAAAGATCATGCGGAAATATTTACAATTTCGACCTTAAATTGTTGTGATAAAGTCCAATTTAGGATTATGAGAAAACAGAAAAATTGCCTACCTTTTCCTTTTTAGTCTTTTCTGCAGATAATGCATTGTTTACATTCTAGGTGTAATAAATATGAAAGTAAAACTATTTGTAGGAAGAAGGTTTAAATATTAATTATTATTTGTATGATTTAATGTAGTTATAATCTAAATTCGGAATCACATTTGTACGTAAGGCTTAACTGCGTTTCTCTTTATTTTATTTAAATATCCAAATAACGCCTGAAGATGCACATCGTTGTTGACTGTACAAGTGTGATTCCTATCTTAAATTGTGGTGACAATAAGCTCAGTCTTTGTTTCGGTGGATGAAGGATCATAGCACTGGAAGGATTCACAAGCAGTAAGTAGGAATGTATCGCAATGTCATGAGCTGGGATGAGACTTCTTTGTTTTAGCTACTGTTGGATGCATTACATAAGTATTGGACATTGCTCTTGGATGACTCTGAGTAACTGGCAATGCTGGAAGTTTATCTGTAGGATTTCGTAATAATATTTTTTTCTGAGACCCTGTCATTACCCTCTTAGCATTACATTCTTGTTTACTCTTAAGATCTATGTTATCGGTGGTGTTTGGAACTGATTTAACGCACTTCCGTTCACTTTCACAGTCACTACCTGTTGGTTTATTTAACTTTGGAGCACCAAAAGCTTTAGTTTGTTTCAATAACGAACGGTCGTTACATAATGCCGCGATAAGAGGCAAATCAAGGTTTTTACTTTTCTCTCGAAGAGTTTTTATGTCTAAATCACAATTGGAGTCTTTCACTTTGTTCGCACTTGTTTCACTATTCACATTTGTTGAGGTTTGAGGAATTTTGACGTCTCGCGAGTAATTGAGGAGTTTCTTTTTGTATTCATATGGAGGCGGGGGCGGCGGAGGCATTCTTCTCATTTTCACTGGCGGTGGATCTTTTGCATTCAACACATTCTCATCCGATTTCGTCCGCATAAAATGTGAAACGTCTGGCACTCGGGCGGGCACTTGCGGCCGCTCAAGATTTATGGAATGGTTGCTGAGCGATGTCCTGCTCGTTAGTGAGTACCAGCTCGTCCGCGTGCCGGGTAACTGCACGTAAGAATCCGACAGATTTTGGATCGAACCATACATGGACGACGCAGACATGGAAGTGGATAGGTATGGCGTGCTTCTGTACTGCAAGCCATTTTTGTGCATGTTCGACACGCGAGACTCGTCAGTTTATGGTCGAGATAATTTTGCTGCGATAAGGCCGGGTCTTGTAAAGGATAATAGACATAGTCAACGTCACTATACAGCTGCTGATGAAACATTGGATTGTGCGGTGGTGGAGGTGGTGGCAGCCGTGTGGTTGGTGGTGGCGGTGGCTGGCGAGGGCGACGGGGTGCAGGCGGAGCTGGAGGAGGTCCCGGAGCCAGTTTCATCATGGCCACTAGTACATTAGAGTCCACACTGTGCGGCATCTCTCGTGATGGTGACAAGCTGTTGTTTATCCCTTGAGCTAACTTAGATCTTTCAGCTCTGCGACTCGATGCTTGTTGTCGCTTAAACTTTTGGAATTTGTGCTCTAAGACCATGGGGCTAGCAAACGTTCTTTCACTAGACGCATTCACTTCTCCGGCTTCAGCTTTCAGTATTGTTATCATGGGTTTTGATGTTACTACTCTGGCAGCCACTTCTTCCTTGTTCTCGTTCAACTGTTTCAACGATCTGGCTGTCGCCGTTGTACCAGGATATGCTGGAGGCGCCTTGATAGGGGGTGCAGCGTAAGAGGTGACAGTTTGATGATTATATTCATATGGCGGAGGTGGCTTGTCAGGAAATGAGGGTCTAATTGGTGTGTCGCCATTTATGTCAAATATATTTGGTAGCGACAAGTTCAGCAGTTTACGGCTATCAATTCTAGTTGGAGGTGTTGGTGGTCGGTCAAAGAAAGAGTTATTTGGATAGTGGTCATCAGAAGGTGCTGTATCTTCGTGACCTTGAATGTAACTGTCTCCAGAAAACGGAATAGGTAACCTTACGTAGTCCGACACTGAGTCTAGAGTATCACTTACAGACTGGCTCTTGGGGTATACGCCTCTTCCTACAATGAGGTCGCTTAATTCACTCGCGGTAAGTAAGTTATGTTTATTGTCTGTCGGATCACTCCCGTCGCCATGGAACGAGATTGCACTCACGTTGGAATTTGTTCGTTCTCTGAATAAATTTTCTTTATTATGTTGTTCTTGATTCTGAAACTTCGCAGCTCCATCGACACAGTCTGAGCTAGGTTGAGATGATTGTAATCTTAATGTACCTGTGGCATGACTAGTTCTTTCTGACTTGTTTTTCAGTATCGATGATACGCTGTCGAAGTCCGCAAGATCATTTTCTTTCGCTGGCTTATAGCTATCGTAATGTGAACCATCGTAATCCGTTCTGCTAGCTTCAGATAAAGTATCCATTTTTGATCGAGCAGTGAGTTCGGAACTGCTCATCGTGTAGACGCCACTTGTTTCACTCGACGCCGCTACTGTGACTGGTTGACCCAAACCATCATACAAAGCAGATGCTGCATCTTGGGAGTATTCTACATCAATGCCAACTGTACTATTGTCACTGATCATTGAATTTTGAGCGTATGACTATATCCTAATTCTAGACTACTAGCATTAGATGCTCTACTCAGGGTACTGAGGCCCGCGCGTGCCATTATTACTGTACTGCAAGAAGAGGAACATTGTGATCCGGTACATTTTAATTTGTTAGATCTTGGACTGTCTGTCAAAGTTTCACTAACACTTTGATCAGGCAAAGATGTCGTATCTTCTAACTGAGTCATTGAATGTTGGTCTGGTAATGCAATTTCACTCCTATTCACATTCTCGCAGTCTTCCTTGGTCTTCTTTACGCGGACTTTTGATTTTTGGAGTTGTAATGATGAGGTTTTAGTCAGTGGCTGATTATCCTGTGGCATGTGACGTATAAAATAAGAATTCGTACTGTCTAGCAAGTGTGCAAAAGCCAAACTTTCCGTGGATGGGGCTGGAGGAGAATCTATCATGATTTCTAATTCATCTTCAGATTGAACCCTGTCACTCACTATGCCAGATGTTGTGTTAGAACTGGTTGAAGAGATTACTGATATTCTTTGTTCACTTTTGTTTTGATTGTATTGTATATTTAGTGATTTCGAGTACCCAAAACAAATTTTCCGTTCCTCTTCTTCTTTTCTCAGGATTTCATTGAATTTCGGTGCAATTTTCATTGAGAACTGATGTGTTTCTCTGCACAGTGCGAAGAGATATTTACATTTTTCTTCACTTGTCGAAAATAGTGTTATTTTGCCTTCCTCAGTCCTGATTTCAAATTTCTTTCTATCAAAACTTAGTTTTCCAATGGCGCTCCATATGAAATTTGAGAGTGGTCCGTTGTCAGGTAAGATCTTTATTCCTTTAGCTGTTACAAGCAGCCACACGGTGCCAGGTTCCGGTTCTGATTTAGATTGTTTTAATCGGTATCTATGTGAATTTATTGTGTCTGGAAGAAGACAAACTTCTCTAATAAATCTGGATTCTGCGTCAGACTTTGGAAGGCCGCGATGCTCGCGATGGCAAGCGCGCATAGCTGCCGCCACCCAGTCACCGGTGAGAGATGAAGGTGCATATTCATCCACTTTGAAGTAGTCCCGGTCCTCGTAAGAGTCTGCATCACCGTATTCAGCTTGTAATGCTAATCCAGTAAGCAGTAGTATCACCTCAGCAGGCAAGGCGTCTCGCGTGCGCACATTTTGCCGCAGCTGGAGGAAGTACAAGTGACGTCCGACTTCATCATGCAGGAGCAGAGGACTCTCCACGTGGAACTGCACGACAAGGTGCAATTCGAGGAGCGGCTTTCCATTTGCGTCCAAACCCTAAAAGAAATAAATAATGTCAGTTTGATTCTTTGATGCAAATTCTATGACTATTTTACGTTTTCATAAATAGTTATAAATCTTCTGAACTTACATGGGTGTGAGATGACCTCCAGCTTTTTGGCGCATATTTTGATAATTTACTGTCTAAGTCAACAAATAAGTATTCTCCATCTGGAAAGAAAATAAAATAGATTACAGTTAAATGAAAAATAAACTAATTTAGTTATTTTATCTTTAAACATATTTTTCGTATGAAGATTATTATTCTTTGGTCAATAAGTACAATGCGCTCTGCGTTGTTGGAGAGTACATATTGTCTGCATAATGTGACATTGTGATGCCTGTACCAATATAGAACATTGATTACCCAACAGCGTTTGTTTGTATAGTTAGACAGAATGCTTACGAGGTGGAATGTATGACGCCATGCATACCTAATAGCTTTGTTATGTGAAATCACTCGGCAAACGTTTAGAACTTATATGAGTGACTAATGTTGAAAGATATGGGTTACACTTACTTTGCAGTATTGCTAATCCAAAGAGTTCTGTGTCGGTCATGCCTTGTAGTTGTGCGTGAGCATTGGCCAAAGATTTCAATTCTTTGACCCTTGCTTTGGCTTCTACGACGAAGTGGAGTGGTTGGGGCTGGCCGGGCATGCGCAGGGAGAGGAACCGCGCGCCCGCGCCGAGAGCGCGCGTGTCGCCGCCCAACGGCCCGCGAACCGAACACAGAGCACGCATGTCGCATCTCGAGACCACTGTTACTCGCGCTGAAACAACAAGAAATAAATGTATTCCATCGTATGAGAAGCTGACATTATTGTTGGATACCCCGGTGATAGAAATCTAGGAACATTTTGAGATCATGAGCCCTAAAAACCGAATGAGAAGAGAGAAAGTGGTTTAAAAAGGCTTAAGTATCAATTCCGTTTTATTATAATTTTAAGTAATTGAGTAGGTACGAATAGTTTTGCAGAGGTTGTATCAACCTAAAATTAAGATAAACAACAGTCAATCCAGTCATATAAACCAAAATATGAAAAAGGTACCTTAAAAGTCCTAAAACATATTTGATCAAACATCATAAATGCTCATATACAATATTTTATACGTATATTAGGTGGCTTATGTCTTGATAGGCCCGGATTCCAATGTGTTTACTTCTTTTTGTGCGTCATTAGTTGATTTAACTCACCCAAAACTACAAATACACGACGTAACGATAAGTCTGAGAACTTAATGCAGATGTAAATATTTTTTCCTAAGCAATTTTTGTTCTTTTGACATTTGTTCTTTTAAATGCGTCTTTTGTGCCTAGGTAAATGTTATAGTGTGGTTTATAAAGTATATGTTTAATGTAGATAAGTCTACGAACATTAGTCCTTTTCGGATCTTTCCTATTCACAAGAGCCTGAATGTGGCAGGACGTTGGAATGTCGGATCTGCGCCAGCTGTGCATTCCATAACTTTTTTTTCGTACCCGATCTTCTTTTTGCTACCTGCTGTTTTTGTGGCGCACATTGTTGCGTTTACTTGTGAATTATATTTTTGAAAAATTTGAGAGCATGCGCACGTGTTCATTAAAAATGGAATGCCGGTATGGCATGGAAGCCTTGTTTAATTATTTATGACAATTAAAATTGACAATAATCTTAGCTTGGTAATTCTTGTGACGTTAGTGGTATGACTATCGCACGTATTGTTATTAAAGTAATTTAAGAGAACATTTTGTGCTTAGAAAAATAATGGCATCACATTATGTGAGTTTAGGTAAAGGTTCTATAATGCCTATCCATGGTAAAATACGCCATGCTCGTGACACCTAGTTCACCCAACGCAAGTAACTGAATACTTTGCAGGTGTCTAGGTATATCTCTGGTTAGATATAGATAGGTCCAGTAGGAGCTACAAAACATTTGGTAGGTAGGTAAGTACATTATAGTATTCATAATATACCTATTGAGTTAATATCTTTTCTATTTCTGCAGGCCGTTACAATACAACCTTTTCTCGAAGGGGTAGTCGGAGAGCCTATTTATTATGATTTAAAATTCACTTTTCACCAAGTATTGCATTAGTCTTATGTTATAGGGTTTAAGCCTATTACCATGTACCTACTGGGTACAATTCCAGCTCTGTGGTATTTTTGAAAAATTGAATCCTATGTGTTCTAATTCAGCAGTCGCACTTGCGGCCAATCGATTAATGAGGTACTTTATTTTATTTCTATTCGGGTTGAACTCAAATCTAAGCTATGTTCAATAAGTTCATGTTCAGAATAGATAGATGCCTTCATACTAATATTATAAAACATTTATAGGAATGTCGAACCACACGATCACGTAAAAAAACTAGACGCGAATAAATTTCATCCCATCCGGTACCTCTGCGGCTCTTCAGCTCTTGATAGCCATAAGAAGAACATGTTTTTTGTTTTAGTAAATGCGCGATAGTTTGTGATGGCGGTCAGGCGCAGCGGGGCGGGGGCAGACCGGTCGGGCCGGGCGGCAGCGGGCTGCGGAGGGGGAGGGGGGCGCTACGTAAGCGCGGTAGCAGCGGACGGCGACGCGAGGAATGCGGACGACCTTCAGATGCCGAGCGCCCCTCCCCCTACGCCAGCCGCATCTTGCGTCCTCGCATACCTAAAGCCGACGTTGCCTCCACTTTTCGACATCTCGCCACCAATTTTGACACTCAAAAATTTGTAAGGACGATAATGAACGAACTCAAACTAGGACCATCTATCATCTCTATGTAGTTCCGACTGTTCCAACAGCTACGGTAGGTAGGTATTTAAAATGCCACAAGCAGTTTTTTTATTTAATTTATGGAAATGACTTTTATTTACCTTGGAGATAATCATCGATTTATAAAACAGTGTTTTGGTTATAATATAAGCCACCTGCGAATACATGAAACTCAATCAGTTTCACTAGAATATTTTAGTATAAACTTTAAAATTAGCTCCATGGCTAGATGCTAACGTAAACTAAAAAAAGTTAAGGTTTTGAAAGGTTTTCAGAATTCTAGTTCTACAGTCCACTCCATGCAGCCAAGATTCATCGCTGTTTTCGGTACATACGGCCACCACAAAATATGCAAGCAGGAGAAAAGAGCTAATTACGCTACTATAGACAGAACTTTAAAGATAAGCTCCATATAAAATTCTACCTAGTAGCCAAATCTTGCGACTGATAGGATATAGAGACTTTTTATTAGATAAGTTACGATATATCGTTACAACAGATAATCATTATATTGCTTATCTATTATTTATCTTCTGCCACGAGCTTTGCGTATTCAGGCTCTTAAGACTGAAAGCTTTTCTTCAAGCAGATTTTATCAGTGACACAGATAAAAACTATTAACCGGAAAGTTTAGATAATAGACAATGCAAGATGAATATTGACCGAATTGATGTAAGAAGAATCATAAGTGTAATAAACCCAAGAACACAGTGCGGTGTAAATGTAACAAGGTATGCCAAATTCTCAAAAAATCAAAGGATTTTATTGACATTTGAATTTAAGTGCTTCATTGGTTGAGTTTGCAAGTGCGACTGCCGAGCAAAGGGTTGGATTTCTGGGTCGGCATACAATTATTGGATTGTGCCCATTTAATGGATGGAACTAACAAATGATCACACTTAATAGTCTACCTCTGCATATTTCTTTAGGCGAATAAAAGACTTATGACACGGTGTTATGTTTTAATTTTATGTTATTGGGTAATTCATATGCCTTAACGTCTACCTGAACTTTGGGGCAACCCCTTCTTTAGTACCTGTTGCGGCTATATTTATAAGCAATGAATGAATTGTCATCATCTTAAGTATTTCTATACAAAAATTCTTCAAATGGAATACTTTTTCGAGACAGTTTTTTCATTTCTTAAATTTTGTAGTGGATTCAAGCTAACAGTATAAAACAGTCTCATATCAGTTAAAAATTGATTATAATTCACATTAGTTACGTGAACTACAACATAGTTATAGAATAAACTAGCTTTCCTCCCGTATGCAAACTTCAAGAACTGTTACACTTCATGCTTTCTCAAGAATCGTCTACACTGATATAAACTGCTTAATAATATGTTCAATAGTTTCAGTGTTTATCGCGAATGAAATAAACATATGTGACTATAGGGACTGTTTTAATAAGGGAGCTAAGCAAGTAGCGTGCAACGTGTCTTGTAGTTCTTCGTTAGGTTTATGTATAACTTGCGTAAGTTGTGTATGTAATTCGAAGAAGTAACTAAGTGCAAAGCAACTACAGTAATATGTACGTACTTACATCTAACGTCACTTGCAAATGTTACGTGAGAATAACGAGGATCATTATCTTGGCAATGAAAAGTGTCAAGAGACCACTTATTATAATGGTGTAACTCTACGACTTGCTTAGGTACTTTTAACTTAGTGCTTCTATCACCAATAATACTGAACTAACGAAGTCCACTTGACGAATTAGTCTTGTTATGATCATAACCCTCATTTTAGCTTCACCGTAGTCGGGTAAAAATGGGGCATTCTTTAGAACCTATGTTAAAAATGAAAATTTTGTCTATCTAGTGAAAATCTAGTGCTTTTAAACGGACAGTCTCAATAACCATGCCATAGATTAGCTGCTAGGCACAGATTTTTAACGTAAGGTCCATAAAAAGTAGGTTTCAAAAGTGTATGTAATTTATTGAGATTAGTTTAGATTTAGATTAAACGATCCTAGATACTATGGAACATGACCAAGTTAAATGTTGTTTTACAAAGCCTTAAATATTCTATCATCAAAACCTAAGAGGGCTCTGGGTCTTCTAAAAACTTCCATCTATACAGCAGTTACAGCATACCCCCGGGGAGTATTTAGAGATTTATTTACAGGGAGATTTACCTACTTCTATTTTATGATAGCATATCTATCCTGCATATCCTAAACAACTTTAGCAGCCTAATGACGAATAAAACCGACTTCCTACGACTACGACAGACATGGACAAAAAGTAATTTCTACACTAATTTAAAGCCCATTGCGTAACGTCTGTTAAGTACAGCACCTCCCAAGAATAACAGTGCCCTAATAAAACATAACAGATTGACGTTATAGAGTTCATGGGTCAATGGGGACATCCGTAATAATTTGTATGACCTGGCGGTTAAGTGGTTAATACCCGACAATTGCGAATAAAGATGGGTGTAAAGTGTTAAGCTCTAATTTTGCCTTCTTGGTATTACCACCTAGTGAAACTTTTGGTATCTTATTGGTTAAATTCTTTTGTCTGTTTTTTTAATTTTGTTCTATACATTTTTGTAGCTATATTTATTCAAAGAAATACGTTAATCGATATTAGAACAAAGCCTCTTTAGCAGGTATCAAAGCAACAATTTAGTATCTATATTATATTTATTTTCCTTTAGTGAAGAAGTGTCCTAAGTTAATATTATAAATATAGAACATGGATAACTTTATTTACTGTTATTTAAATAATTTTATACTTATTCGTGTTTGTTTACATCGGTACTACAAGGGATGACTATCAAAACAAATCCATCTGGGTCGAAAGACTTACTAAACATTGTGTTTATATTCGTCAGTCGTAGAAAGGGATTTGCGATTTATCTTTACGTAATTTAACGAAAGATTTCACATTTTTTTGATGTGATAATAATAGTGACATCATCGTTTATTGTGTAATATTTAATCGCGTATCATTTTCGAGTACCTACCTAATAGCTCAAATTTCAACAAGTAGGTCATGTTTTGTTTACATAGAAAACGAGGTTAGTATTTTAATATTGTATTGATAATAAATGAATCTTTCATCTAGAATATCTTATTCCTCAATAGAGCAATAAGATTTTCTGTACACTGTGTATTTTAGTGTTCAAGAGTCGACAAAACATGCCATAAAAATGTTTAAGTATGCTTTGTCATTGGTTAAATAAAATTTACTTTTATTTACCTACTCGTTCTGCTATCAACGGAATGCGGTCGCGGTATTAGTCGTTTATTACGAGCCAACTGTTAATGATTCATCGGTTAGGTACCTGTATCAATCACTGCAGTATGTTAGAACACAAACTTACATCTACGGGTCTGCAAAATGACCCTAAATTAATTATGTTTTACCTACTTTGAAATTTTTCAAACAGTCGTTTAACGAGGTATCTCGACTGGTTTCAAGCTACACTTGAGGCTCATAGTTATCGAGATACCCTGTCAAACAGTTACGTGAGTAGCTTAGTCGCATTTTCAAGTAAAATATCCATAATAGTGACATTGATTAACTTTAATTAGAGATACACTTAGACTCTTTAAGGTCTAACACCACATCAATGAGATTTGTTACATTTGCAATAGGTAGTTAATTATTTGTGAGTAAAAACCTCTGTCCCGGAGAGGAATTTGATGATTTCCCCCCTCAAAAAAAAAGAAAAGGTCAGTACAGTAATGATATTGGGACACTTATAGAACCTAGGATTAACCCTTCTCTAGCTGGTTAGTGGTGATGATGACGTTAGACATATCTATCCGTTGATCCTAGATGGCAGTAGGGGGCACTTAAAGGATAAGCGAGTACCTATGTTAATTTACGTGATAAATACTAAGATACGAGCATCCATCGTCCACAGCCCACACTAGTCAACTGTGCACTGGCTGGATTATGAACCTCCTCTATAAGAGAGGGTTTACCAAATTTTCCACGTTTGGCAGGCGAGTTAGAGTTGGACAACACAATTTAATAGTTTCAGGTTTATCAGAGTAAATGAAATCCCTTTAATAATGAATCCCTTTAATATTGAATTAAATCTAAGGACTACCTACTTTAGCAGATTGGAAACAAATTGTTGGATTTTTATTCGTTGTAAGTAGATAAACGAGTTAAGCCAGTTCTTATAGTAAGTTGTAGTAAAAAAACCATAATAGTTTTCTTAATTATTAGTGTAATAATTAGCGGTAAACTTATTAATTCATTCAGATTTAAAACAATTGTTTAAAATGTTGACATTAATGTTTTTAATCTGTTACATTATATTTTGGTATCATCTATGCTTTCTCAGTAATCGTGTTTTGTAACACAATTATACAAAACATTCAGATTAAAAAATAACACATGCGTTTGTTAAGTTAGGTACCAAGTATCCTATTCTAGGTAATTACCTATCTCGATATCTTAAAATTACAATATGTGTAAGATTACAGACTACAGAATATAAAAGATAACTTTACGTACATGACTTTGACTTCTACGCGGATATTAAATTAAATAATTCTACATAATATAATGCGAGTTGAGCTTCATTAGAGAATTTAATTGACCCTCGTAGTGAGTCAGACAGTCAAGCAGGATGTTTGTTTGTAAGTAGAGCGTGACGTGATGAGCTAAACAAATCCCGTTCGGTTTTCGGACTAGTTTTGCGGAATCATATTTATAAATTCATATATTCTTGTATTTTTTGTGCTTCCTTAATTGCGTATCATTTAAATGCTGTTGTTCAAAGAGTTAAATACTAATGTTACCTAAAACTTCAATGGATTTCGTATGATTAGATTAATGTTAATAACACCTACCTAACTATCTACCTAATATCTGCCTATTGATTTATGAATGATTTGAGGTTTCTGCTTACGTACCTACTTACTTACCTTGTGGAAGCATTGAGTTTGGAAACATTACATATTTCAAATTGCCTGGGTATTGATTAACACGAATCTAGTACTGGTGATTTTGGAAAATTATTAGGCCATGCAGCATCCTGCGCAATAATACCCTAGTTTCTAATGAACGTTACTTTAAACTGCATATCGTGCTGTTTATCAGTCTGCTTTGGCCATTTGCCGCATTGAGCATGGCTGGTATTGCTGGTGTGGTGATGTCGAGGAAGGGCGCGCGAGCGCAGGGTCAGCGGCCGCGGCGCGGTCGGCGCGGGCGCGCGGAATTCGAGCTATGCGTATGAAATGAAAGTGGCCGCATCGTGAAAGCGCGCGCATCCACTGCGGCTGTCCGTGGCGCCGTCTGGGTTCATCTCACTCACCATGAATAGATAAATCCTGTACAGCTGCACGTAAAGTCACTATAATCCTTGGTTAACCGCATCCATTGGCACTTCACTTCACTATAAGTCGCGCGATCTTGTAAGTTGAATGGCGTGACGGCTGACGTCGAGGCGCACTAAGTCCATGGGCGCGCTAGTACGACTGAGTGAAGCGGGCGCGGGCGCGTGGGTCGGCAGCGAAGGCACGCGCGGGGCGCGCCGCGACTTCGGATCGGTGGAATGCGGCAAGATAGTGGCGCGCTGGTACCGGCCGAGGCCCGCTGTAGGCTGGAGCCTCCGTGTGGGTACGGTGTGCGACGCGACTCGGCGGCGTCACTGTGCGGACGGAATGCGCGCGGTCAACCTCTGCCCATTAAAATAAATAGAATTTCCAAACACTTTGAGGCCGCGGCCCCGGCGACCTGCCTATGAGCACCTCTAATCTTTTGTTTAGCTTACAGTTAAGTCGACAACTAGGGCTCTACTTAGTGCGCCCACACTACTCAAACTTATGACTTTTCTAGATTCTTTGCGCTAAGTATTTTAAATAGATACATACCTAGACTAAAGTAGGTTCATGAGTTTAGACTAGTGTGGGTACATACTTGTTACATACGTAAGGCATCTATTATGGATTTTGTGTCTTTTAAGACAGGTAGATAGATATACATACATTCTAGGAGATTCATAAGTAGTAGAGACAGTTTTATTAGCTAACCATAAAGCCTGCACCTAAGTCCGCGTAACTAGGTTAGCTAATAGCCCTAGGTAATAAGTACTTCCAAATGTGAGTGAAGAATATCTATTAGAGTTCATTTAATTGCTTTGTAGTATTTCTTTTGTCTTACCTTTTATTACATATGTATTTTATTTAAATTTTAAGTGCCCCTAAACATATATTATACTAGCTACTGCCGCGCGGTTTCACACGCTCTGCTCAGCTCCTATTGGTCGTAGCGTGATGTTTTATAGCCTATGGCCATCCTCGATAAATGCACTATCCAACACAAAAAAAATATTGAAATCTGACTTGTAGTTACGGAGATTAGCGCGTTCAAACAAACAAACAAAAATAAAATGGGATGAATAGGGATTCGAGAGGTGATAAAAACAGAAGAGGGGTGAGTCGATGTCGATGCTATGAAGAATTTTCCAATATCTATTCACCCGCTTCTGTCTCTATTCACCTCTCGATCCCTATAACCTAATGATAAAGGCAGCCTAATACATAAACCTATATTGAAGTCAATGTTCATTACGCAAACATGTCCGTGTTGTAATTAATGTGAAACAACGACACTGTAAGTCGGTTGTCACAGGTTCGACTTCTAGTTCGTGAAATTGCTTTTTCTTCGATTCTTATGAGTTCAGATGTTGTGTCAATTTTTTTATATAGGTACCTAATCGTAACTTAAGTTCTGCATCGTTGTTTTATGTTCAATGAGATTCAGTGTTAAATTCCCAGTTTGACTGAGTTCGTATTTTATCTAGATGAGTGGTTATTTAGGAGCTTGTTAGCCTATACCTCTTTTTTTTACCCATGAGCCGCTGATAACATGAAAGTTTGCCGGGGCTCCGGCTCGAAGTGCAGGAGTAGAAACGAGGTGGTTTTTAGTCAGTAAGAGTCTGACACTCCGTCCCGCCTCGCCTAAGCGGGAGAAGCCATTCGAAGATTTACCCACTTCAAAAAATAATAATATAAAAAAAGTCACGTGTGGTGCGAGTGGAACTTGCACATGTGGTCATGATATGGAAATTTAAATATTCATTTTATTTTGTTCTAGTATTTGTTGCAATAGTGACAGCGATATATAGCGACCAACGGAGTTTTAGTGTAGTAATATGGTACATTCTCATTGGAGTTCGGAACTTAAAAATTTGACAATTAAATTAAAAGAATAAAGACCATTTTAGAAACTCTAATTTGCAAGTTGCAAGCTATTACATAGTGGTATGAAAACTGAAACCTTATTTTCATATCAATGAAGTTTTTATTAAAGGTTCACCTTTTGAATTTCGCGGTTTATTTGAGTGTTGCCATTTGTTGATAATAACTAAAAAAAAACACATCAGAAAATAAAAAAATTACGTGTTGTTATAATCAGACTTTAAGCTTCGATCTATTGATAACTTACAACAAAACGAAATCGAATGCAAGTAAAATCGAGGACGTTGTTTCAACGTCCGTGATTTATCGATAATTTCATATTTCGTAAAAATTATCGATAATTTCATATATTTAGTCGAGTTGAAGACGACACAAGTATCATGCACACAGCTGTCAAGACATCACTATTGCTTTTGTCATTATCAGTTTAGCTGTCGGCTGTCATTCGTAATCAGTGGACTCGACCAGCTGTCACCAAAATCAGAAGAAAAGAAATGTCAGATCGAACTTTTCTTGTTGACTGTTGAAGATAATTTTCCTCATAATTTAATTCAAATATTATTAAATTCATGCAAGTCTTGTAATTTTGTTGTAAAAAATAAACAGTGGATATGATTCTTTCGAAAAGTACTGTGTGGTTTTTGGGTGTTCTTTTATTGATATCGATTTTTATGGCAAGTTTATTAAATATGATTGCTACGGATCATAATTTTTATATTGAAAACGAAAACGAGGGAAAAAACTTTACCAAGTATTTAGTTGAAAAATATGGGAAAATTGATGATACATCGGAGAAAGTAGTTTGGTTTCTTCAGGTATGTTAGCTTTAATTCGTAGTGTGTACATATTCGCCTGATCATTAAACTGTGACGTAGTTTTGGAGACAAAGGCAAGTGATAATAAAGAATACTATCGTCGTTACAAATAATGCCGGTACTTTTCGCATTGTTTTCTTTCAAAGTATTTAATTTAACATTGTATTGATAATGTTATTTACACAGACAAATAGTATTGATAACATTGTGTTTACTAGATTTCAGATATACATATTAGTATATTTCGGGATCCTGGAAGAATATCACAATTTCAACAATTCTGTGATAACACAGTCAAGAAAATAAAGCCTGCAATAGTTTTGGCAACGGGTGACCTAACTGATGCTAAGGCCAAAGATAACTTAGGTAGTTCCCAAGTGAAGACAGAGTGGATATATTATCATAATATTGTACGAGAGTCAGGAGTCACTGATACAACTGCCTGGTTAGACATAAGAGGAAATCATGGTTAGTTCTCACTACTTTGTCTCTAAAAGTTTTAATTTTACTTCTATTCTTTTTACTAACATGGAATAACTTATTGACCAGTAATTAATATGTACAACAATACCATTGTTTAACTATTAGGAAGGTAGCAGTGAATAAATAAGGCATGATAATGACATGATTCACTGACTTATATAGACTGTCCATATTAATCTAGGTAATCATACTGTATGGATTAATTGTTATCAATTTGAGGTTTCCTTTTTTGATCTTTGTTTAGATAAAACTGAATTCATTTTTCAGTTTATAATTGTACCTATGTTAATATGTAGATAAAGCACTGATAACTACTTACTCAGAGATATTGTAAACTAATGTCAGTTTATATTTACAGATAACTTTAACATCAGAACAATACATTCTCAAGAAAATTACTTCAGGAATTATTCAGTACAAGGGCGTAAACATGCTAAGTCTTATATTCATTATGTACAATCAAACGGTGTCAATGTTGCATTTTTGGGTGTTGATGCATGTCCAGACCCTGGTCTAGAAGACCATTTAATTTTATTGGCATATTAGATGCAGGAGAACAACAACTTCTGCAGAAGCTTAAAGTAGAGGCAGAAAGTAAAGCTGACCATATTGTTTGGTTTGGACACTACCCCACGTCATGCATACTGTCTCTTGAAAATGAACCCTCGAAAGTAAATATACGCCAACTTATTGGTTCAAGTCGAGGTTCACATGTTTATGTTTGTGGACATTTACATTCCATGGGTGGATTAGTTACAAAAATGTACACAAAACAAAAGAAAGGCTACTTAGAGCTGGAGCTAGGAGACTGGAAAGATAACAGAATGTACAGACTGGCAGCTATAGACCATGGTCATTTCTCATTTGTTGATCAAAAACATAATGTCTGGCCACTTGTGCTGGTCACAAATCCAAAACATGCCAGATATATCATGCATGGTCGGGAACCTTTGCAATTAATTCCAGACTCAAGTCACATAAGAATTCTTGCATTTAGTGATGTAGATGTTAAAAATGTAGATATATCCTTTGACCAAATAAGTTGGATGACATGCAGGCACACCAAAGGGCCACTCTATGTTTGTCATTGGCTACCTCACTTGTTTAAGAAAGGTGTTCACTATTTGTATGTCAAAGTTTATGATGAGCTAGGAAGAGAAGCCTTTGTTGAACATCCCTTCACATTGGATGGAAGTGTAATGAGTTTTGAGATAACAGCCAGAATTTTGCTCATGTTAGATGCCGGAGTAGTGGTAAGTAGAAGTACATTATTAGGTATTGAATTTTGTGAAATTATTGTACAAAAATACTGATAGTTGTTGTTTTATCAGTTTCAGGCAATATTTGGAACACTTCTAATGATTAATGTTATGCCATTAGTCGTTTTTAGACTATGCAAAAGACCCCCAAGGCTTCGTGTGAAATATGGTCGACAGATGATAAGGAGACTCTGGCTATTGAGTAAAATAGACCGGGTGTTTTATCCTATTGTGTTGTATGCAGCATATCTTCCTTTTGGTCCATGGGCCATTGGAGAGCTTATAGATGGCCATGTCGGAGCAATTTTTGCTTGGGGTATACTAATAAAGGGGTCATTCATTCCAGAGCCATTTACCTACATGTATGGAAGTGTGCAACTAATGTTTGTACAAGTACCTCTAGTGTTTGTATTGGCACACTGCTTGGACTATCGTCTATATGGCTATAGTGCCAGAGGAGTGAGGAGATTGATATTGAATCTGCCATTTGTGTTCTTACTATCAATACAGCTCCTATTGGCATACTTCTTTTGGTTGGAATATGGAACTATGTCTTTCATGTTTGGACCACTGAGAACGTGGAGTATTGCTTTAAGTTTATTATTGTGGTATAAGACATTGAACTTACCGCCAGAGTATTGTAGGTAAGTACTGGTAATGTTTCAAGAAATTTCTTGTTTATGGTTTATGTGAAGTTAAGGTTCACATTTATTTAAATTGTTTCGTTTTTTTTTGTAGACACCTGTTAAAGCTGACTGAAACTCCATCATAGTATTTTAACAAGAGGATGACTTTGAATAATTTGTACAACACAATTATGTGTCGTGTGTTGAGCTTAGCAGCTTTCCTTTACGCCAAAGTAGTCCTGGCTTCTGTGGAAGATATGGTATCAACATACTATTAACGAATAATAAAGAGATTAACACAATTATTTCATAGTTTAACTGTTCAAGGACTGATATTTCAATTGACAGGTAACATATTTTCTTGTAAATTTTTGGTAATCGACTATTAAGGGTAAAATATGTTTAGTATTTACACCAAAGACATAAATTGTAACATTCAAGGATAAATCGAAATAAATTTACGTAAATTATAAAATCCATTAAACGAACGACTATAAATTGTGATTGACTCATTAATTAACAATTTGAAAATAATTTTGTCACATTTGATGATAAAATTTTATATGTTGGATACATAACATACACTAAGTATTTGACTTCAAAAACCTTGTTGTACTTTAAAATTTAAGTCTAATCTAGATCCTAGTCTGACGGTATACCGAAGTATTTGATTAAATAGCATTTATCTATTTTTTTATTCTAAAAAAACGACACAGAAACAAAAAAGAAACTGACGAAGTAAATGTGAAAAAACCTTGTATTTAAGATAAAAACACATTGAAAAGATTAAGACTTATTTCGATCTTTGATTTCGTAATTCATATCTTAATATTATCTTAAAATAGATCACGAACAATATTGATAACACAGATGGTGCTTCAAACTGTACAGGAAAAAATATACAAAAAATAAAACATGCTGTATAATAAAAATTAAAAAAAATGTATTATGTAATAAAGTATTGCATTATAAATTTATAATCATCACATTCACGTAACTAGCTATGTACAATTAGTTTTATTTGCTTAGTACCTAAAGAGGCTGTGAATGAGTCGTTCGGATGCGCACACGCACTTAATTTGTTTTTTACATAATTCATTGTATAGCTTTTATTTAGATTTAGTTGTATGTCGTTGCTTGTATATACTTGTTATTTTCGCTACTTATGTACGTTTTAATTTTACCAACATTATTAATAATTTCCATAATTACTTATGTTTAAGTATGTGTGTATTATAAATGTATATTATACAAGGTGTACGCTTGAAAATTGAACTAGTTTTTCGTTTTTACAAGTGCTGAAACTAGAATTGATAATTTTGTAACATCTTGTGTGAATTACACTTATAACTTGAAAAAAAGTTTTTTACATAATATGTACTTCTACCTATCCCTTCGAGAAATATAAGGCGTGATGTTATACTACTATTATTATATTTGTTATAAACTATAATAATGTTATCATTATCACGTTATAAGTTTTAACATGATGTAATAACATAGTATTGCGCACGCGCAGGTGAAGTGTTAATTCGCCAATGTCTATTAAAATCGTGTAAATTCATGTTCATTGTTCATAATCACAGCTATTTAATATGCTTACGTTCATTTTAGTTTACTGTGGACTAGTTTTCAGCTTTATTGTTTAGACATTAAGGTTGGAAATTGATCAACTTTGAGGAAGAGTGTGTTAGAAAACTTGGCTTGTGTGCGCTTTGGAATCTAGTGCATAGTTATAATTTTATTTTAATGTAAAAAAAGACAAAATTTCCTTGTAATATTCGCTTTTTAACTACGATTATTGAATGCAATATTCCGTGGTGCTAATATAATAAAAATATAAAAAAACCTTTAATATACCAGAGTCATTATTTTTCTACTGTATAAAAGAGCAATATTTTGAACACTATTCAATGATCGTAGTGTGTACTGTGTAGACACCAGCTCATCAAGTTACCTCCAAAATCTCCGAATTTTATAACTGAATTTCAACTTTAATTGCAAAGTATTAAGGATGAAAGTTTAAAAAAGATTGGGTTAACTTGACGTACTGGTTTGCTTTATGTCATGTATTATGTAGATATCTCGTCATAGTCTTGTAATGTCTAGTCTGGACAGTATTTTTATAATGTAATGTATGTAGGTACATTGTCAATATTATTATTATTATATGCTTGTACCGAATTTGATGTAATTATTGTTAATATTATTAATAAAATAATGTAAAATGTATTTTGTTTTGCTAAAATATTCTAAGAAGGAAGCTTTATACGCTTCACTTGAAGACAATACTTATCTTTTAAATTCGTCAGTTCATTGTGTTTTGTTTTGACTTGACGCCTTTGTGCCGGTCCAATTGCGCATTGCTTATGATAATAAGTAAAAAAGTATTATTCATACAAAGAAATAAAAGAAGCTATCATTTCTTGACGATACATACACATCGTTGCATTGAAATAACATTTTATTGCTGAGACGTTAAAGTTGAAAATTGGTCTGTCATAATAAATTAAATTGTTTTATATATATTTATTCGGAAATCAATTCTATAGCTACCCAGCACACTTAGTTATCCCTATCTGTCTATTTCTTTCAATAGATTTTCAACCCTATGCCTGTGGAATAGAGTTGAGAAGTTATTAAATTATTTTGGGTTAGTTTCAAGTGCCGGTCTTTGTACCGGGAATTACCTACCCATTATCAACAACATTCTGTAATCTAAATGCCCTTTGAACCATGTGTATTGTTGGCACAATTTGTATTGTTATCAAATAATAATTTTATATAGACAATATTGTGGAAGTTGTGCCCATTTATTCATACAAACATTCATAAAGTTATAAAATATCAATTATTAATTAAAAAGTCAATTGTATAAATTATCGACGGAATAAATAATTTCATGTCGTTTATTTGTATTTCATTAAGAAACAGAAGTACATCAATAAAAATGTTATGCTTCTAGTAACAAAGGCCTTTATTTTAGTGTTTTTAAACGTCGCACTCATTCTATAACCAGGTTTCCCCTGTGAATTGTACTATAAAAAGATATACAGTTAACTTTTTCTTGTTGACGGTTCATTTTATCACACCTTTCCAACTTCAAGTATGGGAGAGCCATGCTTCTGCACGAATGGGTCGGCTCGACCGGAGCGATACCACGGCCTCATAGAAAACCGATGTGAAACAACGCTTACGTTGTGTTTCGTAGTGAGTGAGGTTACTGGAGGCACAATCACCCTCCCCAATCCCAAAATCCCCAACAATCCTCAAATTCCTAATCCCCAAGAGGTCGGTAACGCACTTGTAAGCCTCTGGTGTTTCAGGTGTCCATGGACGACCCCGATTGCTTACCATCAGGTGATCTGGCTACTCGTTTACCGGCTTGTCCCATAAATAAAACTTAATATCATAATCCTAAATATCAGTTTGAACACCTAACCTTTTTATTTAAGTTACAAAGTATAAAGTAGTACTCTTATAAAATATTCATGATAAGTCATAATTAAAAAGGAAAAAAGTATATAAAATAAATATCTATATCTCACTATTAAGTTTCATCAATTGGGTACTTGCCAACTAGTCAAACGCAATAATTTTTTTAACTGTCAAAAACGACAGTTTTCTATGAATTTTTTACGAGATTGTGTATCGTGACGGCACGTTTTTTTAGTGTCAAACAGCATACTTATTTCTTAAACATTTGTTGGAAATGTACTAAAATTAAGTTGTTCATAAAATCAATTAATGAAAGTGTGATTTTTTTTAAATATTTTATTGTATTGAACAGTCGAAATACTTTATTTTTGGCAAAGGAACGTACCCAATTCTTTACCCCACAAACATTCTAACATAATAATAAAATTGATATATTTTCTTACCTATCTATCTATATTTGTACCTATAAGTACTCTACTCTTATCAGATCGACATAAGTATTACTTGTTGTTCATTGCGGGCTCTGTTTGAGAGACTATAGAGAGAATCAAAGTAGGCAGCTCATCTCTTAGGACCAAAATTAATGAACTATCTTTAATCTCAATTCAAATTGAAGCTCGATTTTTAACAATTGTCGTATGCTGTTTCTATGTCAAAACATGGACCCAGTAATTAAAATTGGTTATTCTTTCGGTCGTTATACGTTATTAAATACATAAAACCTCCATTATGCGACATTTTACAACATTTTAGAACAGTAAAACAACGTTCTTTCACGATGAGATTTGCAAGTAAACCTTGAAATATTTACCTAGGCTAAGTAACAGCAATTTATCTCCTATCTACAAGCCTTATATACCCGTAATAGTAAAACAACCACTAAAGCTATTTGTAACAAAACTATCCATAAGACTAAAGCTAAATAATCTGCATGTAGGTTCCTAGAAAGACCTAGGAATTCTAGATGTTTGACGGGATTCTTGAACATGCAAAATACTTCATGACAGGGCAGTTTTTCTCTACCCATGCCATACACGGTTTCTAGGAAAGCGTCAAAAGCGTATCGGAAGTAGGAGATTGTCGCGAACGGTCGAAGGTATACCGGCATCTCACGATATGGAATGAAGAATTCTGAGAACATCAGCATTGGAATGTTGGCTGCTGGAATCACGAACAGTCCCAGCTGAAACAAATAACGAAGATTAGGAGGAGTAATAGCAACGATTTGTCGGTTCGCCATATACACTTACTCCTAGGTTAAGTACCTATATAAATATTTTATAACTGTTACCTGCTTCAAATGGTGGAAATGATTTTGATGTAATAAATACTGTATAGGTCACGAATAGCATTTACGATTACGACAGTCACAAAGAAATGCATTATCTACTAATAATAGCTACTCATTATCTCTTTCATTATCTCTAAGTAATAATACTTAAACTCTTTGTTTTAGATACTTATGCAGCAAACATTTTAATGGCCCTAGGTTACATTAGTTTTTTTCTTTTAGAGGACCCGGTACCTCCATTCAGGTGTTGAGGGTGGCCACCGGGGTGGTTTTAGTGAGGTAAAAATCCCACATTCCCTAGTCTTTTATCCCCAAAAAGGCTAGGCGCCTTTTGAAGGATTCCCCCCCTCATCAAAAAATAAAAGGTTACATTAGTTTTACGATCGCGCTCACCTTCATTCCACATGATGCACCCACAACGAATCCAAAGGTCTGAGCTAGTATGGTGACTAGGGCACACGTGAGCCATGCTAACGCCATGCGTTCAGGTTCCAGAGGTTGTGAAGTCAAATACCAGGCCGGGAATAGGAATACTGTCGCACATAGTAACTGTAACAAATGTTATAAGAGTTAAGTATAAGTAAAACTTGAAGAATAAGTCGTGTGGTGACGGGATGACAGAGTAGACTACCTACTTTAGTCACCGGTCCTACTCCTTCCATGGGTGTTCAAAAAGCTTTCTACTACGCATATGACCACAGATATAATAAAGAAGAATACTTTTTTAATATTTCTGTGCATATGACAGACCGAGCAGCGGCGCTCTTTAACAACCATCAATAAGAAATTACCTTAGACACCTTAAGGTATGCTCTACTTACTTGTATAGGTAAGTCCACGATGATTTTAGAAGCACAGTACACTGGCAAGGAGTACCACTTGTTCAAGTGTTCATGCAGGACGACTTTGGCTTCCACAGGGACTGAAAATGAAAAGATTGCACATTAAAATATGTTCGATTATTGGCTCGAACAACGAGTTACCTAATCGATTTTCAAAAATCGAAGTCCGTGTTATGTTATGCCTCTTTTATGACGTTTATGAAACGGGAGATTTGCCTATTCATGTTTATGACAATAGGCTCATCTTTACATGGGACTTTAACAAGATTGGCGAAAATCAGATCTATCTATTTCTTTAGGGAATAAAATCTGTTGCCTATTTAGGTACTCTTCAATAAGAGCTATTATAATCAGTAGTATGTATAATTGTATCGCTACTTACATGTATGAATAGTAGGCATGGCATTCGAGAAGAAGAGGAACAGCAGGAAGAAGAATAGACATCCAGTGTTTGACATCATTCGGCCCGCGTCTGCGCCGGCACCATGGTATAGCGCACCCAGAAGTAACGCTACGACGAAGTGACATACCAAACGAATCTGTAAATATAATACAATGCGTTAATAATTTACAATGCTTTCAAAACATGCTTAAGTAGTTAGTTAACTTTTGCCTATTCGATTTCGTAAAATAGGGTGGCCTGAGATCTAGTAAGAGGTACCTAGATATTAGGTGTTCCGATCTCGAAATCTATTCAGGCTCCGTAGGAATGTTCTTATTATTAGGTATCACTACCATCAAGTAATTACTGAGAAGATTTTCAGTAATGGTGTAAAGTCGATAAACCAGTTAGGTTAGGTCAATTAGTCGAATTAGGCTTTCTTCCTAGTACAACGGGGTTTACGAGAATCTTACTTTTCGTTCGCTGTTGCTCAAGGGTTGTATTAAATGACGATTATTTTATTGCTCATCGTCTTTTCTACGTACCTGTGTCAAGTAAACATCTCTGATCACTCCTATATAACATCTCCATAGAAGTGCACTCAGCTGCTGACACACGCTGGCAGCGTACCCCTTCGATGGCGTAGGGCTGGGATTGAGGAGTGCTACCGATTCCGGTGATAAATCTAGAAAGAAATCAATAAGTTGAAGGACTTCCATTACAATTTAGGGCGAAACTTGGAATTCCATGCGAAACAGACTAAAAAAAACAAACAAAAAAAACACATTATTTTGTAGCTAGATTTTACTTGAGGAACAGAGGCGCTGTAAACATTGTCATGTTTTTAAAAAACCTATTCAAATATACTCATAAAGTGTTTATTTAATATTATAATTGTGATATTTGTTATTTATATACATTGCCTATTTATAAAGGTTTAAAATCACCTGCTACTTTCATCTCTGCACTGCTTAAAGGTTGACTGGGAAACAATGCCCAAGGCATTAAGTCCAAGTCAGTTACACACTTGTTGTATGAAATTGAAATAAATAAATAAATAAAAACGGGTTCAAAATTTTTAGTTTGTACCTGTTCCTTTCCCATTGCAAATTTCGCTCTTAGCAATCTTGCTCATCTCGTGAGCGTAGCTGTTGGCTTCGTGTTCCAAGAGATTCATGTCACCAGGGTGCTCGTTGCTTGCTACTTCTAACACTGGAAAAGTCAAAGAAAAATAATTATAGATACACAATATTCCATTAATTGTTTTGAATTGACAGGCTCAGTTAAGACAGAGGAACAATAATTGTAGCGTTAACAATGGCCGAAATGTTTAAAATTTTATTCACATCAGAATCTGAATACGTTTTATTACCATATCAAAAATATATTTGGCAAGTAGGTAGGTACTTAATTGTTACATATAATTTATAACATGAATGTTGTTATGTTAAGCAAGCAAAAATATTTCTATAATCTCTTGTTTAATAATACATATGATATTGTTATTAAGTAACGTACTTGGTACTTATACTCACAATAATCAGCTATATTATAATACTGTGGACATATAAAGCCGGCTCTATTCAATGCACTGGGAATGTCTGCGATAGCTCCTGCGTACAACGTCCTGCCATTAGCCAACACTATGACGTCATCAGCAATGTTGAAGAGTTGTGATGAAGGTTGATGGAGAACGCATGCTATGGTTCTTCCACTGCGGGCTACTGTGTGAAGAGCTCGAGCCACGGAGAGAGATGAGACAGCATCTAATCCACTGAAAAGGTTAATAAACTTTATGTTATTTTATTTACTTTGTGGAGTAAAATGTTTCCCTGTAGCTGCTACGACAAACGCGCTTAGGATTATGTCGTAGAGGGTCTACGAAGTTTGCTACGAGACAGCAATTTGCATATTTATGTTTTCTAGTAAAGATTACAAGTTGAATTCCGCTTAAGCATGTCAGGTACGGTATTTCAATGTTTTAATATAGGTTGAGATTCCTATTGAACATTTTTAAGTAGTACCTAAATGATCGCTGAATGCTGATGTAGGACCCTTCTTGCATTCAGTTGGAAAAGATGATTTAGTTTGTTAATTTTACAATCTACAAACTATTTTTTTTAAAGTATTACTTTTATAAACTTACCTAGTAGGTTCATCCAGCAGCATGATGGTAGGGTCTGTAAGCAACTCGCAGGCTATAATCAACCTCTTTCGTTCTCCACCTGATAGTCTACCGGCACTAGTGTTGAGGACTTCATGTATACCTAGCTGCTTTGTTACTGTAGTGATCTGAAACGAGAGGAAGGATAATAAGGGTTTGATAAAAGATCATAGCATTAAAGTTAACTTTAATATAAAACAGGATGAGTCTTAAGTTATTGACCATAATTCTAGATGGATGTTTCTTAATAATTTGGCTTAGTCACGGAACTGTTACGCTATTCTGTAATTTTCAATTCGTAATATCGATGTGAACACGATCGCGGTTCGTTATGTCATTGGCTGTGAGAATAATCTCGACCAATGACAGGCGAGAATGCGATCGAGCCTATCTAATATATTACCTAGTTTCTTAAGCTCGGTTTTTCGGTAACACAAGGCAAACTTTAGGCTTGTTTGTAGTTAGGTCAAAAGGTTAGTTCTGTTGAATGAACCGAAACCCAGTTACTTTTACATAACCAGACATTTTGATACATTACATGCTTTCTATCTCCAGTAGTTATCACCGTATAACCATCATTACCAAAACTAAATAAGAATTTCACATTTACTAGTGAATTATTTATAGAATAAATAATTACCGCATTTGTTCTTTCCCTCTGTGACACATTAGGCAACTTGAGCCTGGCAGCAAACCGCAGTGTCTCCCCAGCCGTAAGGGTGTCGATGAGCGTCGTATCTTGAGCCACCAGCACTGAGCTACGACCTGCACCGTACAAACACCCTGTTACACCTGTCTTTCTGTAACAAATGCTTTCTATTATTTGGGAATAACACGTAAATCTGCCTTTACTGACGTTGGTTTGGTCAAATCTTTCTCTTTTCTGAGGTAGGAACCCCGCAAAAGGTCATTTAGAACACTTTGCAACAACACAGAAGTGTCTTTTGAGAAATTGATCCAATTGAAACTACAACTTTTTTAAGACTTTACATTCTCATTTTTCACTCATCAGTTTCATTTCGAGGGTAAGAAAGGGCGACGTGCTAGGTATGTTTATTCTATTTGCAGAATATTAGAAATAAAATCGATGAGAAATTTTTTGATGACTTGAAGCCACGGTGAAACGAGTCTTTCGATGCAGAACTAATCTATAATATAAGTATAGGTAATAATAACGAATGAATTTGCAATCTTTGTCTTTACAATTGTTATAAAAATGTCTATTCATATAGATGTGAGTTAACGGGAAACTGGCATACATAAATACCTAAATATTTATGCAGGTAAGAAAATGATGTCAGACATATCACATTAGCATTTCAAATAAAAATAACAAATTGCTTTCGTTTCATATATTTCATAGAAGTACCTATTAAAAGTGACTAGATGAGAATGAGATAGATGCGATAAAATTGGCTTGTTGGATCCATTGCAGACGGATAAACCTGCTTGTTGCTTGTAAGAAACTTTCTCTTTATAGATGGACGTGAACACATCTACTCAATTGCTTGTTGTGCTTTCTACAATACAGATGGTTACAGTGCTACTGGTAGCAGCGCGACAGTCGCCGCGTCGCAGGTCGCGGAATGCTGCTCATGAATATGAGCTTCTAGCATGGCTTGAATCTAATCGAGTTCCTCGTTAAATAATTACGTAAGTCGAACAACAACATAAATACATTAGATAGTTCTATTATTCTTTCAATTCTTATTAGGTACGATAATGTTCGAAGTACATTGTTGTTAAAAAACGATAGGCGAATTTAACGTTGCCGCTTCATGGACAGTGTTCATTGTTTCTGAGGAAAATGCAAGCATTTGCCATTTGTATTGTTTGTGAAGGATGCATGCATGCGTCAATAGATGCAACGTGGACCCTTAACCCTAAGACTACGACTTCTTAGTAGGTTGTTTTAGTACTAAGTACATCATAACTAGTAGTATAACTATTCTTACTATAATTTGTAAACATCACTTGTCTTTAGCGTGTGAAATATTTTTTTATTATTTTCTAACTACCATTGAACTTACAATAAATAAAGCTACTAAATAATTTCATTTATTTTTTCATTTAATACGTCATATTGAGAATGCTGTAAGAAAAGAAACTTACATTGTTAGTACCCATTTATAACAACAAAATATTGAATACAAGGTACCTGTGAATTTTGTTGGTTTTAATTACCGAGGTGCTTAATTATTTACTTCATCATTATAAATTATGTTAAAACCAACGCAAACGATGAGAGTTATTCTTGGATTTGATTGTTAATGAAGTACACAATAATTTGTACCTACATATTAGTAAATACAAAACGGATGGCTATAAACGTTCTTTTGTAAAATTAAGTTAATATATTTTTAATTTATTCATTGCAAAAAATTCATAATTGATGCTGGAAACGTGTTTAACATCGTTATTTGAATGCAACTGCGAATTAATATTGTTATCATAATTTTAGAATTTGGAAAAACCGAAAGCTATAAATTATATTATAAAATTATATAAAACATTTATGACTATATAGGTTCCGTCTATTATTTGAGATTAACTCGTCGAGTACCGTATTTATATACACAATTAAAGAACAATAGGTTGCGGTCACCAGTGACCGCTTGGAGTTTGACAGTTTAATAAGTATTTACTATATAATGAAACAAGCTGAAATAAGTAAATTGTATGTTATCTTTAGGATTTCTTCTATTGATACACAAATGCGTATCGAATGCATATGCATGTATTGAAAACAGTTTGCGAAAAATCTTACTTTCTTCCAGCCAAGATTTTGAGCAGTGTGGTCTTGCCGGCTCCCGAAGGTCCTAGGATGAAGGTCATCCGCCCAGGTCTGAGGGCACCAGACGCTCCCCGGAGTATGACATTTGGATCATTGATATTATCTTCTGTTACAGCTGGTTTCTTTCGCCAAATGCTCCCTGTGAATTAAAAAACTTTTTTAATGAGAATAACAATCAATCTGCTTGTAATTGCGATCAGAGTACCTAAACCAAAACAAACTTTAAGTAAACTTAATGAAATCCTGATTGATTTTATTTATTTATTTATTTAAATAGGTATACCTAAGTGATATGAAAGTAACAATAAGTAGAGGTATTTAGGCTTATACAGTCGCCAATTATAGGTTAACCAACATTTAATTACTTAAGTGATATCTAATAAAAACTATAAATACAAAAATGAACGAGAACAATAAAATTTTAGTTACTAAAAAGAAACTACTACTAACGAAATTAACGTTCTTATTTTAGGGAAAATAAAATTAAACTTTTAATAAAACTTTTAATTTAATTGATTCTAGTGTTAGAAAAGAAAATAGCACGACAAAGTTTAACTATGCTAATAATAATTGACTCGTACCAGATAAACTCTTGTTATGTTCTTTATAAGGGTTAGATCAACCATTTTAATGAGTTTATAGAGCTTCTAGAGTTTTGTAAATAACTCACAAAAAAAATCAAGTTCGATCAAATTTTGTACACATATAAACATAAGTTATTAAAGTTATATATAAGTGGACGCGTAGTGTAGTTGCTTAAACAGGTATATACACATTTTTTTATATACATTTTGAATTTGACAAACAAGGGGTCAATGACACAATGACCGCCAACAAGGAACATTTGAATTGAACACCATAATTTACGTCGCTATAAGATTTAAATACAAACATGTACAAATTTGAACCTTTTAAATTGTCTGATGTCGAACCCTACCTGCCAAACGTGGAGATAAGTTCAAAAATATGTATAATTACGAAAAAATATGTATAAGTTTTTGGAGACGAGGCCCATTACAACAGTCGACGGTCACGGGTTGTATATTTATGTGTATCTGATTATTATATACTAGCGACCCATCCCGGCTTTGCACGTGTGCAATATGCATGTAATAAACATATCCTTAAGAATCACTCTATCTATTAAAACAACACCTTGTATAGGGCGCAATTCCAAACTCCGTGCTACTACTGACATTTTTTTGGAAAACCCCAGTAATACTTTGTCCGACCCGGAAATCGAACCCGAGACCCCTTGCCCGGCAGTCGCACTTGCGACCACTAGACCAACGAGGCAGTTTAGTGGTGGATCAACACAGCCGGCGGCTTAAATTATTTATAGAGACGATTAATTTTATGGTTACGTTGGTAGAGTTGGTAGTATAACAAAGACCTGGTACTTTTAATAATAATCCGCCTCTAAGGTTGAATCTTGCTTATGTACTTATAAGTAACAGGTTTGTTTCTGGTCCTAACTCATTTTTTATCTTATTTTATTAGGTACTATTACTATTATACATATAAAGCTGAAGAGTTTGTGTGTTTCAATGCGCGAATCTCCGGAATCACTAGACCGATTTGAAAAAATCCTTTTGTGATAGTTCATTATCGAGGAAGGCTGGATTATCGAGGAAGTTCATTATGCTATAAAGGAGCCGAGCAGAGTGGATGAAACCGCTCAACAATAGGTAGTTTTTTATATATGTGTAAAAAGTACCAGTTTAAGATTTTTATTGCCGGGCAAGGGGTTTCAGGTAGATTCCCGCGTCGAGAAAAGTATTACTGGGTTTTTTAAAAGGACGGAGTTGGGAGTCTGGACTTGTGCCCGGAAATTTGGTTTTCGGCTTACTCACATAACTGTTCGACAAGGAACTCGACTAGTTTCAAGTCATTCTAGAGGCTCATATTCGTCGCGGAGAACCTAACGGGTAACCGGGGCTCCGGCTCGACGTGCAGGAGAAGGAACGGGGTGGTTTTTAGTCAGTAAGAGTCTGACACTCCCTTCCGCCTCACCCAGGCGGGAGCAGTCATTCGATGATTTTCCCCCCTTAAAAAAAAAGAGGCTCATATTCATGAGCAGCATTCCAATCGACTTCCGCATCAAACCGTTACACGAGTAAGACGAGAAAAATAATTAACTCGTCGAGTACCGGTTTTATAGACACAATTAAAGAACAATAGGTCGCGGTCACCGGTGACCGCTTGGTGTTTGACAGTTTAATGCATAACTTCTCATATATTTACATACCTTATATATATAAGATAATAAAATCGTGTAAATGTTTTAAATGCATTTAAATACCAAAGTACAGATTTTCTTGACATTTAAATCATTTCTGTGGCTACCTACATGCCATAGCAATTTTGCATATATTTCTCCATTTTATTCTACAAGAACTACGAAGTTAAATTGCTTCTAAAACAGATTAAAAAGGGGTAATCAAGGCGTGCTACTAGCCTTATAATATATCTTTAGGATTTATTCATATGTTATATTTTCCATTTACTATGTTGATATGTGTTTAAATTATTTATCAGCATGGATTACACACGGATTAAAATTTAGGTTGCTTTGGTAAAATATTTTTAATTTGTTGGCAATGATTGATTAAAATAATGATAGCTAGTAGGTATAATATGTATAATATTAAACAAAGTCGTGTTAGTTACACTCAATACTCAATACTTTTTTGCTTTTCACATGTATTACTTAAGTGGTAAACATAATTTGAACATAATGTGGACCCTGTCGGGCACAACAACATAATTTTTGGGAGGACCCTTTGATATCTCATTCGTAGAAAAGAGAAATACAAGTAACCTATTATAAAATCCATATTAAATGCATTACAAGATAGAAGTATAATTGAAATTGTAGTATTTAGGAGTCGAGTCATTTTTTAAATTTTAAACAATCAAAATTAAATACAAAGTCAGAATCATAATAAAATAAAAAATCATAATCAAAATTGAATATAAGGTCAGAATCATTATAAAATAAAAAATCATAATCAAAATTAAAATTAAAATAGTCAAAATACAACCAAAAGAACAGTCAAATTAAAAACAGTATAATATTAAATACAGTACAATATTTAAAGTTTAAATAAAGTCAAATTTTTTATAGTTCATTAACTTTTAGTTTTACTTGAAATATTGGTTGAGATTTTTATTTTTTTAACATAACATCACGCCTTTATCCTCGAAGGGGTAGGCAGAGGTGCACATTATGCCACTGTACAATGTACCATCCACTTTACACTATTAATGTTATGAGTCCCATGTAATAGGGGGTGAGCCTATTGCCATATACCGGGCACAATTCCAGACTCCGTGCTACTACTGAGATTTTATTTTAAAAACCCAGTAATACTTTGCCCGACCCGGGATTCGAACCCGAGACCCCTTGCCCGGCAGTCGCACTTGCGACCACTCGGCCAACGAGGCAGTCTTCTCTTCTGTTTTTATAACTGTGGGAAGTCTGTTGTACAATTTAATTAACATTGACTCGTGGAGTGCATTTTTAAACGTGAATTTGGTAAATTTAGCCTTGAACTGTATCTTAGTTGAAAGCGGGTTTGAGAATCTTTGCGTTTTGTGTAGAATTTCTGGTGTTTCCGTACAAATTTGCGCGATTCCTGTACGTAGATACAGGAAGAATGGTTTACATTTTGTCTGTTTGCTCAAAGTTTTCTAAAATGCTAACTAATTTCTTCTGTAATATGAGAGTCTGTGCAACTATAATTTATCCGCAGAGAGTATCCCCATAGCTAAGCCATGCGTAGGCGTAAGCATAATAGGTGGTGAGAACTGTTTGGAAGTTTGTAGTCTTTTTTATTTCACGGAGGGCATAAGAATATTTGGCAATCTTCGAGTGGGTTTTCTGTACGTAGGCTTTCCAGTCTATATGTGTGTCTATAACTAATCCGAGTAGGGTAAATTCACTAATGGTTTCTAATTTTGAGTTTTTAAATGTAAAATCGAAATTTAGTGGTGTTTTTGACACATGGCTCTTCTATCATTTTGAGTAAGTCGTTTATGTAAATCAAAACCATGATAACCTATGACGCTTCCTTGGGGGATTGAGGCATTCATTATTTTATTATGAGATTGGATTCCTTCGATTTCGTTAAGTATTCTATTTCAATTAATTGTTCCCTGTCCCTTAGATAAAATTTTAACCATTCGTAAGCCTTTCCGCGTATATTATATAACTCAAGAACGGCTACAATGATTTGAATAAAAATTGGTGTGGAGGGAGCTTAGAACTAGAAGACAGACATAGGATGCTCTTTTTTTAGATTTTTTTTAGTTTTTGTCTAACGGGAAATATCAGGACTGTTTGTACGAAGTCGCGGGTAGAAGCCAGTGTATATGTTTATAAAAATATGATGTATGTCATAATATATAATGATGACGTTAAGTATAGGAACTTATGTACATACAACTGCTTGCGCATGATTGTGTTGAAACAGTCTACCCGTGCGCTGGCAAACATACCCGATGTGCTACAAAAGCGAGGCAACCCCAAGCGAGCATCCTGAACGCGTTATTACTGTGTTAAATACATAATGTGATTAATGTGACAACATCAGCACGAGGATGCCTGCTGATGTACGCAATAACAAATGATTTTCAAATCAAGGTAAGTATGTATTCTAATCCTTACCTATCTTAATCCTTTTGTCGTATTTCCAACTTCTAATATTATAGATTAGATAGGTAACCTATTTTACATATTACTTGACAATTAATCATATGATTTGTGACGGAAAACTACACTTTTGTCTAATAGTTTTTTTTTGTTATATTTTGTCTTTTTCGTTCTATGATGGAGGAAATGTCACGTCTTGAATATCAGACCTTGGCAATTACTCTTAAAACCAATCTCAATGACAATTCAATTTCAATCAATAAAATCTCAATACTTATTCAATATCAACACTATACAAACCTAACCGTAGCTGTTAAAATAGCATTTAGAGTACGGAATATAAAGCCGAACTCTATACCATTTAGTTCATTCAATATCCACGTAATATGGATGCATTGGGCGCTACTTTTACTAAACACAATATCAATGTGAATCGATCGGAATTGGATTGAAGAGTAAGCTCCCACCTCTAAAAATCATATACA